GTACATCAGTGGTCTTGTGTTCTTCAACATGCCTTCATCTACCAGTGAAATAAATAGTTAGAACATTTCTGCATTGCGAGGCATTTTGTACATATATTACAGAAGTGAGAGCATTACCTTAGTACTCTTCAAGCAATAAAATTATAAGTCGATGACAAGGAATGGTCATGTGAGTCTTTGCCACATAGTAGCAGTTCAGGATATCATATATCGGCAAAGATCGCTACACATTGCTACTATTCAATCTACACATAAATGTAACATTAATATTAATAGCCAGAAGCAGAAAATATAAGTTCTTTTTTCTCTTTTTTTGTTCAAATAAATAATATTATCATTATCATAACGTAGCATCCAGGCCTGATCCACAGTAGGTTGCTCGACTCGTGTCCGCTTTTTAAAATTTTCCCGACGCTTTACGATCTTGCGACGATCGCTCCCACCGCCGTTACCGCCATGGCGCCCATGAGAATTCCGCGCCACCACCACGAGTTCTCGTCCTTCTCGTTGGACCGCGCTTTTCTCGCAAAGTCCTCGAACCCCTCCTGTAGCAACAGAAAGTGAGAAAAAGAGATGAGTTTCAGTTTGATTTTTTTGAAACACTGAAATAAATATAGACAAAATGACAATGCAATCAAGTTACATTGAAGCACCCCCATCTAATAATAAGAAAAATTAAGCATGATGATGCATAAACTGACAAATAAATATATGCAATCAACAACAACAGTGTGGGGTTCAATTTTACAGTAATTAATAACTTTGCAACTTCAACGTTGCAAAGTAATTAAATTTTTGTGTCTTGCTTCTAACTACTTCCTGTAATTAATTTTGTACGTACATTGCTCAAGCCCCTGGGAGTAACAAACAATGTACAGAAAAAACTATGATGCAAATATTGATCATACCAAAGATCACATTATACATTGTTAAGATTTTATTTTGAGCGATGATATATTTAGCACTTCTTTGTTCACAGCTTGATCCAATATTCGGTGTCCCGAACAAGTGGATTATGTTTCGGAAATCTCGTCTCCCAGTAATCCTGTGATTATGTGCTCTATTGAAAACCGTCGGGTGTGGAAAATGAGAGGACAATGTGCTGAATACATGTATTTCTGACTCCCAGGATAAAGTCGCTAACTAGTGACGCCAGACAAGTTGAATCTTAGTGTGGTAGTTATATTTTTTAGAAATTATGCTTTCTACTGTTCGAACAGTGACAAATTATTCAGACTGCACCTAACCCTCTATACTGGTACTGTACCCATACCTACTGGAGTTATTATATGTTTAGGTATAAAGCCCTGAAGTACAGTGTCAAATCTGGCCTGTTATTTTGAAGGATACCATACACAGTGTTAGAAAGCTAGTAAATGTACCGAGATTTAGTAGGGCCTGTATACAGTAAGATATTAATATACCACGCTATAGAATATCACAGTCTACACACATGTCTAATTTTGTATGTAAGACAGCGCAGGTCTCTATATATAGCTAGTGCAACTGTATGTAATACAATGTCACATTTTACCCATTGTTTGGTGGGGAGGCATCCAACAGCGAAGGTGCTAGGTGAAACCTTGGAGTTATAAATATCATATCGCGTGATGTTTTGGCTACACTTTTGTGGGGAATTATTTGACAGCACTGGGGCTAGGTGAGATCCTGGAGTAATATATCATATGTCATCCGGTTTTGGCTCTTGTTTTGTTGGGAATTATTTCACAGTAAGGGTGCTAGGTGAAACCTTGCAGTAGTCTATCATATGGTATCCCATTGTGACCATTGTTTAGTGGTATATTGTGAGTGAACTGTGAGGTTGGTGGGAGGTGTGTAGGTTTGTACACACCACCTGTCATGTGGGTGTACCATCTGCTACCAACATCACACCGTTATATTAGCTCTTAGAGATGATGCTTTCTATCATTAGGACATTTATAGATTAACATAATGCATGCTTCTACATGTTTATTACATACAATGTACTTTTGTTGCTAAGTTGTTTTATATTACGCATGCCACCTGTCATGTAGGTGTTCCATCTGCCACCAAAGTAGCACCATAAGCATTCAAAGGGACCATTTTAAGATAACTGTACTTTCCAAATGTATATTTCTTGACATTTCAAAATGCAACAGTATTTAAACTGTCATAAAGCAGAAGAATGTAGTATACTGAAATTGTAAGAAAGCCAGCTTGAAGCTAAAAGAGGAAAGTTCTTACAAGTTTTCCGCACAAAATATTGTACTGAACCCCTCTGAATGGTCAGCCAGTGTTGCATTGTTTCCCTGTCCAGCCCAGATGGTCATAGATACTTTTATCCTGGGTACAACACTGTAACAGCGCAAAGCCTTCCACACAAATCTACCGAATAACACAATTGTCACGGCCCTAAAATGCTGCTGAGATGCCTGATTTAAATCAAAGGCTGTGAAATACTGTGGATAACCAAGAGGGTTATAACCTCCTTGGGGTAATCTACCTGTCAGATAAAAAATATCCGTTAACTTCTCCTCGGCCTATCTATATTTTTTGACAAGACCAGACCTTTCAACATACCCTATTCAATAAGCGATGCAACTGTGCCAAGTATTCCACACATAAACTGCATGAATCATGGTCCCAAATGCCTCTCAGATATGCCAGCTTAATCAAAGGTCATAAAATACTGCAGGTTATCCACAGATGTCAGAACACATCAGCTAACTTTTCGTCAACCTGAATTTTCTGTCCCACAACTTCAGTCATATAAGCCCTGGCTGTTCCCAGCGATGCTACGAAGCATCCGTCTTCTGCGGCGAAATTCAACCTTTCCTCCGCTGGAGGTCAGACCAGCTTTCAGGAGGGAGCGCCAGCGTAATGGAAAATTTCGCCCGAGGAATTGTCGGCTGATGAAACGTCGCGTCGCTGCTTCATCAACCCATCTGCTATTCCGTTTTTTGATAACCGCTTCTACCGCTGTTTACGATCATGATCAGAGTGAGTTTTGGGTAGATTTTGGGGAGCCCCTGCGGCACTTTTTTATGAGAAAATGATACGGAAATGTGCCTCCTTTCTAATGGCTTGATACACTCATCATCATTTGGGCCTTGGAAAAAAATTTGTGGTTTCAGTCCTTGACTCCTGCAAAAAAAACTTCAGTCGGTAGGTTGGGATTTTCTGACACTTTCTGAAAATGCATGAAAGTCAGATATCAGATTGACAATTTTATGGCCATGCCAGCAAACTTACACCTCCAAAAAAGACTAGGGTTGGTCCGGAATCTGGAAACACCACATTTTCCCCCAGGCCTCAGCAGCAGTTGCCAGGGACAAATTACGCAGCAATGATGAAATACGTTCTGATCAAAAGATTGGGTCTCCATCTCTCCAGCTCTCAGCTCCAGAGACATGTGATGGATGGAGTAAGGAGGGAAGGGGCCCGAGGTGCTTTACTTAACCAACATCACGCCATTGTCTCTAAGACATTCCAGCTGAAACCTCTTCAGGCGTCTGCCTGTGTGATGGATGACATGCGAGGCAGGGGACTTAGGTTATAGGAGACGGTTCTAAATCACGGCCGGTGTAATATAAAGGACTCACTGGGAGGGGTTCTGATATGGGATGTAAGGTTTGTGCACAAAAGAGGTAATGATGTTGTAAATGCAGTTATTTTCGCGGTAGGAGTGAGGTTTTTGTGGTGATTTAAGTTCACAACTGCCCAATAACACTATGTACATATACGCATTTGATGTAGGTTACTCATCCAGGAATATAATACTTATATTATAAATCTTGATTTCCCCAAAACATGTCTTTAGAATAAGGCTGTATCAGAGGGAAAACTTTACAAAATTTGTCCTTTAAAATTGAGGAAATTATGAGTTTTTCAAATTTTCCAAGCAGAGTTCAATGCGAGACCATCTACTGTGGTCAAGTCTTTGTCACTGCACAGAAAGTTGGTCTTCTGAACCTGAAACCTATAGCTATTCCAGAATAAACCAGAAGTTCTGGTGAGAACCCTTCCAGCTTGTAATACCCATGTCAGAGTTGCTAATGAGAGTCAGCAGACCTACAGTATCCTCATCATCATGTGATGTTGTTGTCCACAGTAGCAGCCCACGCTGGCCTGTGTTGTGTCAGCAGTCCAGGGCAAGTCACGAGACTGGGACTAAACAGGATTAAACACTTCCGTATCCTCAATCCTGGCAACTCATGATGGCACAGGGCAAAGATCTCTCTTCCAGATGAACAAAAACACGCACAGTAACTGCTGACCAGAAATATTTTCCTTCTTTTCAAGGTTGAGTCACAAGACTCCGATTAAGCACTACCAATAGTACCATATATAACATCTGATCATGCACTGTCATCTGCTGACCAGCTTCAATGGCCATGTTCAAGTACAATGGTCATACCAACCCAAACTAAGGGCATTCTTGAGATATATCAAACAAAGTTCACTTGACTTGTTATCAAAAAAAGCTTGTGTATGATCCTGTTGACGGTTGATTCTGTCACAGCTTGCTTGAAAATCCGACAACGTACATAACATGGTAGCTATATAGGATGACCTACAAATACAATATATATGCCCAGGCCGTATAATAGCCAGCAAATATCATGACAAATCAGAAAAACAAGTTAATGAGAAACTTCACAACTGAAAAGACGCTATACAAGTCTGACAACGTTGAGTTGTTAGAGTGTGTAATTAGAAAGGACACAGACGACACCTGCAGCATAGAGATGGGTTCTCCACATTGATTTTAGAAATATCACAGAAGAAACGTAAATGTTACCCCAGTCAGCACCTACTGATGAGGCAGACTATCGATTCTTTCACACATTTCTGATGAGTCATTGAACCAAGCCAAATTACTGATAACAAAATTACTGGCAACACATTTGCAGCGGTGTTGGACATGCTCAGAATGCTGAAATGACTTAAAAGTTATTAAAATTGAACTATAATATAATTCTTGAGAAATTTTTGGATGTAAAAATCTAAAAATCAAGTACTAAGGAGCCCAAGTGCATCATGCATATGGTTAAAAAATACTCATATTGATAAATCTAAGCTTCCTTTTCAGTCAAATCAGCAGAATGAGGGAACTTCATTCACCCATAATTTATGAGAGAACTGTACTGTTGGATATCAATCTTTTGTCCAAATGCACCTGCACACCCCAGTGCATTCTGGGATCAACTGGAGAATATCTGGATTCCATACAATACAACAGTGCCACATGTCACGGGATGAAAAATGAGCTTCAATATTTCGCTGATCCGTCTCGATCTGACTGGCACAAAAAAAAAACAGAACACAGATGCATGCTGGTCCCTGAATGGTGTTTTTAGGTCATTCTAATTTTAGAAGGCATCCAGGTATATCTGTCAGCACTTTGAACTGGGACTGTACTACAAACATATTCTATTTCATTCCTACTTGTATCTACTGTTATGTCTGCAAACTACATATCAACACTTTATAGATGTTTGTATTGTGAGGATATTTATGGGTCCACATGTGGCTTTTTGTGGCAGGTAATAGAAACATGTTTGGACTGGGAAGAAAACACAGGTACTGAACAAACCAGAGTTGTGCTACTTGTTAGCTTAAGTCTGAAAACTTTGCCAGCGCCCTGAGAGGTTCTGTTACTGCTGCGTTGTGTTTTGGTAGCGTGAAGCCATGAACCACAAAAAATTTAGCGAAATAGGCAAAATAATTGGCCAGTCTAGGGGAATTTGGTCACCTGTACTCATTACAATTCAAGCTTCAGAGACAAAATTAATCTTCAGTAGACTGACTCTCCTAGCCAATTTTTCTTCCCATTTTTTGCTGATATGTATACTGTACCTCCATACTGGCCATAGGTGGGTTTGGTAGAGGCTAGCTATGACATAATGTGTTGTTATCAAGCACACAGTACGGCGTCTGTACATGTTATTGGCCGCTCTCCTGGCCAGGTGATTTCTGCCCCCACCCACCATGAGTAAACACACAGGTATGTGCCAGGTGAGCTGGCCTGGGGGCGTTACCTATCTCACCTCAGGCTACCTGCCTGGTCTGACTACACAGCAAAACACCTGTGATGCTAGGTAAACAAAACAAGGTAAGTATAGTGCAGTACATGGGACTGGATCAAAACAGAACTTGGGGGAGGGGGGACTTACTTAATTTCTGACAGCCTCTTCACAGCTTTCCCTTATCAATATTTAACAATAATTTGTTTTCTCAAAATACTCAACCCAATTTTCTTCCTCCCCTGTGTGCGTTACAGGTTTTCGTGCCTTGAGAATTGATAATGAAGTTGAGTAATGTTGCAGCAGCATCACAATACCAGTATGTACAAAGGACAAATTGTCTTGTATACTGTCACGAATTAACAACCCTTTATAAAGAGAGCCTTAGAGACAGCGTGCTTGTATGGTTTGAGTTTGTTTTGCCAATTTTCATCCCACAGGTACTCAGTCTCATTACAAACATTTCTGTTTATCATCATCACTACAGTCTTTGTTACAATTAAGTTATTGAGAAAAGCAGCTTGTGTGTACATACATTTAAGTTTAAAAATCTTGTAACTTTCTTCCACTTTGCTTTTCCCTCCTTGAAAAAACTCCTTATCCTCCTCTGAGGTGATTAGAGCTCCTTGGCTGTGTCAAGTACATCTGAAATCTCTTCCACATTTTTGTTCTCTGCAAGATCAAGATCACCCAGAAACAGTCTGGCCTTTGTCCTGTGATTTGAAGAGGAATGTTGTAGGCAGGCCTGTGTGTGTGTGGGTGGGGAGAAAGGGGACCCTTCGACTTCAATCACACAAACTTTCCTGTGTCTAGGACTCAGAACAAGGGCCACAGCAATTTGTTTCATTGGTTTTCAGACTACGTCATACTGTTAGCGGCCATTCCCCTGGTCAGGCCCCTAGATTAGATAGAGAGAACTCTGAGGACCAATCAGCCTGACAGTGAGAGATTGTGTAATACAGGCTTGTTTCTATATGTACAGCCTGGATGCCAGCCAAGAGAGTTGGTTTTCATATCAATCTTCTAATTCAGCATGATGTTTTCTTCATTTTACTGAATCAGAGAACCAAGAAACACTGACTTATCATGAACGTTCATCTGTGTTGGTAGTTCCATGTTTAAAGTTCAAACGTTGATCCAACACAACAAAGTTCTCTCGCCTAGAGCTTTTGACCAGAGAAGAGAACTTTCTTGTGTTGGATCAAAAGTTTATACTTGCAGTTGAAACTGACTTGCTGTAGCCTAACCAGGGGTCCTTGGGGTTAACACTGCCTGCTGTTTGTTGTTAGACAGAAACAGAAAGAAGGGAGATCACAAGACAGGAAACGGGGGTGTAAAAATCTCCCTGTCAGCCAAATCTTTCAGAGATGAAGTCTGCAAACTAACATACAGAATACTAACTAGCAAGCTTGCCTACAGAGGAATAACTTCATAAAAATGGAAAATATCCAGACAATCACTCCTTCAGCAAAGGGTTGTTGACCCCTACTTCCCATACTAATACTGATCTCCAAGCAGATGCTTTGCAATATTTACTAATCATTTCTAAAGTAATATTATTGCCTCCATGAATTTGGAAGTACTGTTTTTGGTCCAGATGATGTTTAAAGGTGGGGGGGGGGGTGCTCTGGCAGTGAACTCAAGTTCAACATCATCCCATGACCCACTTTCACTACACCTGTCACTTTCACTGTTTGATGAAAGAAGGCCGACTTGTTTATATCTTCACTTGCTGTTATGGCACAATTTTCAGTCAGCTTATTTCAGATTCGATAATACCTATATTATTATTATCATATTTAAAAAATTTAAATTTAACCTAGATCCAAGGCAAATGGGAGTGAAGTTTTGGAAATTTTGGTAATGTTCCTGTTCCAAACATAGTTTACAACTTCATTACGAGAGCAAATTCTGGGCATTCTTTGGACTGTTATAGATGTGTCATCCTTAATTCGTCTGTCACAACCTTGTTGACAGGTGGTTTTGTCATCGTGAATATCGTTGGACAAAAATAAATTTTACCACGATTTTCAGGTCATATCTAAGATGCCACACCCAAAACGTGAGATGAAGAGAAAACTACAGAACTCATCAATTATTGAGAGACAGATAGGGGACCCGTTCATACCGGAGTGTTATACATTATTCATGCACGAATCGCGGGCAGATTTTTAGTATGAATGGACTTCCGTTGGTTATAGTAAAGTCAGCTGCGGGGTAAGCCCATTTCGCCATATTTCGATCCACGTTTGAAAAATATGATAAAATTTTGTACAGTAGGTCAACAAGGCATCGCATAAACTTGGACACTTTTAAATGAATGAACTGTCACAAGAATTTTGAATTTTTTATGATTTACAGCTACATACAAAGGAGGAATTCTGACATTATGTATATATTATGCATTACATTATGTATATAAAAAGAGATCAGTAGGTCAACTAATCTTAAAATTTGGTGACTGCAAAATAATGAGCGTCTATAAAGTTTAATACTTATCTAAGTTATTTTTCCATTGGAATTTGTAGGGGCGTTCACTAAAGGAGTTATCACAATTTCCCAGCAATCTCTACGGAGGAAATGCCATCTTCAAGTCCAAATACTTTCCACATTCCTGACGCTAACATCTGGAGAATGTCAGGGTATCAGAGCCTGTGTGTTCAGGGTCCGCCCACTCATGTCTGCTGTTTTAGGAGGAAACCCAAGATGGGACAATTCACAGGGGAGTGGGACTGTGGGGGTGTGGGATGGGTTTACCTGGGCTGGAAATACAGTAACTTACACTCCTTCAAACTGCCATTCACAGAAGAAAGTTTATAAATGACATTATTTTGCAGGCTGAAAGAATTCCTGCTCAGTACTAAGAATTACAAATGTAAGAAGCCTAGGTCATTAGTCGTAGTTTGTAGAAGCTTTTACTATAATTCATTATTACTTCATAATGTAAAGTAACACTCTATTTAATAAATTCAGACAAATTATTGTCATTTTAAGGGGAGAATTAACAGCTAATGGACATAATATATAATTTCTGAGATCTTGCACAATCACATGTGGTACTTAATTAGAAAAAAATAATGTATCATTGTATTTGCAGCAAGATGTCATAAATTGTGTGAAAATTCTGGCACAATGCTAGGTAAAACAAAACTAGAAGTATTTGAATCCCTGAACTGCCAAGCTTGTAATTTATGTGTGTTGTTAATGTGACATGTGAGAAGTAGGGCATGAATGGATGGACCACAGTTGGGAAAATCCAGATGAATGAACTTCACTCGCAATCACGCAAGCTTCATACTGGTCACTGTCTGTTTCTATGTGCATGCACAAATGTATGTGTTCAAGTCACTTTTGTTTGTGTTTCAGTTCATATAACATGACGTTACTAATTGCAGTTAGCCCCTAGCAAGTGGTTGTAATAGTAAACAGGTGTGCTATATTTGTCTAGCTGTACCGTGTCTAAATATGCAGTTATAACTGCTGAGAGAAGCGGTTATTATTGCAGCAGATCCGTCTAAATCGTGCCAAGAGCGATATTGATACCGACGTGCTACGTTTAGGATGCGTCGGACCAATAGGAAAAATAGCGCTGGAAAATCCCTCGGAAAATACCAAACTGAACTGCGCAACACACCCCAGTTCGGGTTCGCAGATTTTCAAATATTTTCATATTTTGCCAAACCGACCCAATCTGACGTTATTTTTTAGCCATCTAGTTGTCAATTTGAACATATCTTACGCCGAAATACAGGCAAACCCTCGCGATTGCACATGTAGGGACCCCACCCTAAAATTTCAGGCCATTTAAAATTCATAAATTTGTTTGGGGATCTCAGGGGAAAATAATCACCGTTACCCCTTTGTCATATTTTTCCTACGCGTATCACATATCACTCTGCTAAATTACCAAAAAAATTGCAGAGTTTAAAGGAGCTATTTTAAATTAAAAATACTTTTCAGGCACCCCGTTCCATACGGTCGCCATTTTAAGCAGACGACAAAAACTGGCGATTTCGTAATGGCTATTCCAGCTGGCGTGTATCATAACGTTATAGCAAGCGGGAAAAGAAAGGAATATAATCCTTACCCAGCCTCCATTTTCTTGTAGCCACTGCGCCAAATTGTTGTCTATATACTGTACAGTCCAGTCCACGTATCTGTCCACGAATTGAGGCATTTCCCGTTCCACAGCGACCACGGTGCAAGCGCCTGTGAAAGCCACCAGGGCCACAAGCCTGCCCCACCGAACACCCTCTCTGAAAAGCTCCGCTACGACATTGTGATACTTCTGGTAGGCCGTGTCGGGAGTTAGGTGCAGTTGGTCGCCCATTTCGTCGAACTGCTCTCGGTATCTCTCCTCGAACTTGTCGCCGAGTTCTCTCATGAGTCGGTGAGCGTCCGTAGGTGGGGGGAGGGGGGGCGCCGATGGCCAGGGGAGCCCCTTTTTGTTCAGTTTGTAAAAGACATAGTCGGTCACAATAGACCGGGAATCCGATGTCACCATGGTTAGATGACTACCCTCCGTTTTTGTTTTCCGTTAGGTCCAGCAGAACTCCCAAGGAATCACGTTTTTCCGCACAGATCCTGGCACTTGCTTGGCTGCGAAGAAGACCACCCTCCTCGCTGGGAAACCCGAGGTTGCTGGTTCGAATCCCACCAACACCGATCCAGCACCCACACACAGGGAGGCTAACGTACCTACAGAACACACAGAGTAAAGTACGGAGTCAGTTCAGAAGCTTCACCGCCACAAAAACACACACAACTCGCGATAGAAACGCTGCCCTACCTCCCAAGTCCTTGCTGGCAGTCCGGAAGCCCTGGAAATGTGAATCAGCAAGTTCAGAACGGGAAGGGGGCTCACTACGGGCGTCCCAAACCCGAATCCTCGGAGCCTAAACCACGTTCGCCGGCCACTACACAGCACAATGGGCGCTGCGTGGGGAGAAAAAGTTAGGGCGTGGTCGCAGATCCGTCAAAATCGCCGCGATTTGGGGCAAAAATCTGCGTTTTGGGCTTAAAATAGCACCTGAAACGGTAGGTAGGGCCAGACCTGTACCCCTGTTTAAATGTCCGAGGGTCGGATTGACAGGAACGAATAGAAAATGGGCGGAGCCCTGGGTTCGATCTGGTTTCTCAGCCGTTCGATCAAGCGGATTCACTCCCTCCGGATAGATGGAGACCTGCCAAGGCGGACATGCGCGCTTTATATGTATATATATAGTTGACAAATATTTTATAGATATTTCTCGAAAGGATTTGATTATCAACAGTTAGCAATATACAATCATACTGTAAAATGAATAAATATACAAGCAAGCGAATTCTGTAACGTTAATTGAGGTGCATTCGTACTCAATTTTCATCAGTTTAATCTTAATGTACAGTTATTAAAGCTATATAAAAACTATTAAAACTAGTACTTGACCCGGTAAGGAATTAAAAAGGCATTTGTTTTAATTTTTTTCTCTTAGACTCATCATTTCTTGAATTTATTTCCTAAACTGGTAACTTATCTTTTAGATGTGGATTTTCTTATTCTCAGTTCCTCACAAAATTCACACTGCCCACTTTGAAAATTCTAAAGAAAAAGGAGAAAGAATCGATAATTAAGTATGAATGAAAGCTTGTCAAGTTCAGGTACTAGTATCTTTCTTTAGGTATTGCGACCGCGAGTTAACATTCATCGTAGGGAGGGTGCACATTGAAAGGAATAGTCAGTCGGCGGATAAAAGCCTTCCAGTGGCCTGTAGGGGTCACGCGGGGTGACCCGGAACTCTCGGGTACATTCGTGACGGCCGTGACGTCAGCAAGGTAAGCAAACTTCATTCACAACTGGCATGCCATTCACTTCTGGTTTGAACTGGCACGTTCTAGAACCGCAAGACGAACGCCATTGAACTCGCTTTTCTTAATGTTCGATGCCAAAGCAATGGTGTTTCAGGACCCTCTGGTTGGTTTGTTAGTTGGTGGGTTAGCTGGTTGGTTGGTTGGTTGGTTGGTTGGTTGGTTGGTTGGTTGGTTGGTTGGTTGGTTGGTTGGTTGGTTGGTTGGTTGGTTAGTCGTTCGGTCTCCAACGTATTGAGACATTTTGGAATGGTGGAATGGGTTTATATAATGTCCTTGGCGATGGACAGGGGAAGGCAAGGTGGCCTACTAGCGGCTCCCTTCATAAAGGCAGATTTCTAATTTTTTTCTAAATATGTAATGTGTTATATACTTTGGCATCAAAAGTCACCGAAGAGGAAAATTTCGTACTAAGAATATGTAGAGGATACATATTTCCAAGTAATTGGTGATTTTTACGAAAGCAATAGCAGACGTTTATATTATATATTTTCCGTAGTCATAAAAGCGTAAATACTAATCTAGATATCAACATTTAGTCTTTTCATAGAATTTACTTTTGCTTTCACAAAAACTGATCAATTTTAAAAGCTTGGACACTTCAAGAAAAAAAATTGAGGAACCGGTATAACTTGATTGGCCGTAAACGTTTAGTGAAAATAGCTTGCGATATTCTATGAATACATTGTAGAATTTAGCGACATGAAGGATACTCAGTATTTCTTTAAATGTATTCACAGACAAATAAGATCGGGCTTGCATGACATGAACGTATGGAAGCTAAATTAAATGAAGAACGTTTCTAATAATAAAAATATACTACCTTTCGGCCGAAGTCAGAAGTTATTCCAGGTAGGATTTGGCCACCACGTATGCTCCTTGCTATAGTATATAACCCCAGGATTTGTGAAACGAGGATCAACAAAATTGACGACCTTCCACTGCAGAGCTTGTAGTACACCGAATAACGTTATTTGCAGTCGTACTTTGCACACATTTCATCAGTTTTCTCTTATATGGAATGACGTATTTTGTTATGAACGGAAGTATAGGGCACTTTGAGCTTTGGTTTGTGACGTCACTGCTACAGGTTGACTTGTTTGATGACGTCACCCATATTTCCTCCGTCAAAATCAACGTGACACAGGACCTAGCTCGGAGAAGGTTGGCTGGGAAGACAGGAAATTGGAAAAAAATCTGCCCGTTGCAATTGGTAACTTCGCAGAAATGAAGATTTTTTTTGTCTGCCAATGTTGAAAAACATGGTTGAGAATAATCATGATGGTACCATGGAATAATACACTGAATTCCATGTAGGTTGTACAATCTGCACTTTTAGAACATTTCGATAGGTGGCTACAAACCACCTGTCGGTTGTAACATTCCCAACTGCGCGAAGAAATGCAAACTCCCATTCCGAACGATTCTCCCTGTACGTAGCCAGTGTAGTTAGTGTGGTAGTCGACTGTAAAACAGTTAGCGGGTTAACCTCAAAGGCACCGACTCAACGGACAACTTCTGTTGCCGTGTGACGTCACTTTTAACCTTCGTCCCTTTTGCCATATTTGGACGAGGAAGTTCCGAACACCTGGTGAACGAAGGTGAAAGTATGACGTCGTTGTTTTTGTCTGAGGGACCTATTGTTGTGACTAGACGTTTGTTTGTACTGTGTGTAAAGTGCGGTTAAACTGCCCACACCAAGGTCCCCGGAGTTAAAACAAAACAACTGAAAACAACTCCAAAGTTCATGTGTCTTTCACAAGTTGTTATTCAACGAAATGTTTGAAATTAACGGTCAAGATCTGGGGAAGACGGGAAATTAAAGCGTAGCCCCCAGAACTACTTGCCATTCATGATTGGATGTTATTGTCCTTCTACAATGTACAAAGCTTCCTAACCGCAAATGGCCTGCCGCCAGTGCGTTATCAGACGAAAGCACACAGGCAATATTTGCGCATTCATTTGCAAACCTCAGTTAATGGAAGGTACACTTTTCACATGGCCTAGCCTGTAAACAAGCCATTAATGGCTATAATATAATGTAGCAAGTTATGTTACTGATTTTTCCTGAGTCTTATGACTGAAATGCTTTAAAAGATATGCCTTTTCTTGTCTGCAATTATATGAGAAACAGAATTATATAGATTCATTCACGCTAATATCATATTACGTTATTATCAGGAACACAATGTCTAAAAGTTCAAATTAAGTGTTTTTATCCAAATAAAGGTGATTTGCGTCTGTGGTATAAACTACCTTAGGAATAAAACGGGCTCTTTTAATCGAACGCAATCACATTTTTTTGACACACTTTCAAAGTAATCGTGATCTGTAAACTATACTGTACTTTCTGTAGTAATAATAATAATGATAATGATAATATTTTCCAATCCATATTGTCATTCCAAAACTGCACTCGCCTTTATGGTACCGGTCTAACGTACCTTGGCAATAAAGTGTCGTGTTTTCAGAGCTGACACAATACGACTGGGGTGCGAGAGTTGAAACAGGTGGTTCTTCCCACACACCTGGTGGAACCGGCTACCTGACGTCCTGTTGTTCCGCAGTGTTTAATACCAGGCTAAGGTAAGTGGGGCCGTCCCTGACGTCATCAGCGTGCATGACGTTATACGGCTAGTTTAGAAACCGTTGGTTGTTGACACAGGGTCAGAGTTTAACAACAGACACTTTAAAGGGGCGTTTGCTCAATTTTTACATTTGTTTGACGCGTTACGTTGTTTCGAGTGTTGGAGCAACTGTGATTTTTAACCAGACTAGTGTGTAGCCCCGACTCTAGCATGTGCAACACAGACTCTCACTGTCTAGGGAGCCTGACCAGTGGAAGGGCTGCTAAAATCGTGTTGTAGTCAGGCTAGCCTGCACCTATATTTCATGTTTATTTTCCGACAGTTTTGCCAATGTTTCGTTTCGCCATGTACGTCGAGAAGATGTCACTTGCCTTTTTTGAAATACAAATATCTTTACTGTATAACCCCTCGCCCTTAATGAAGAAAATACACGATGTAATACAACAATAATTTGTAGGCTAGGCGTATCTTGTAGTCTACTAGCATCTCCGTGTTTACAAGAGGGTAAAACTAGCCCACAAAATACAGAAAGAACCCTGTTTCGTCGTCTTCTGCCTCCTGTAGCATAAACTACTGCATACAACGTTTCTTAGTTTTCCCCTCAGCTAGATTTTCTGTGTTTATCGAGGGATTGCCAGCATTTTGCATATCGCTTTGTAGTAAACTAAATATACCCGGATGTATGTTAGCTACGCTAGATAAAACCGTAAGCCTAAAACTGTACACATGGTAAGTTTATGTGCCAAAAGTCAGACGTATGTTGTTCTTACCTCTGTTAACAGCAGAAGCTCAGGAGTCCAGGCAAGTTCTTCAGGAGGTGTCGACTGGTCCCCCGATCGTCTGAAGCAGTTGTGACGGCAGGTGTCGAGGCGTGGCGGTTTTATACTCACCTTCACTTTCGTCAGGGAAAGTCCCTTTGTCTGGTAAACAATTACAGGTAAGGGACCGTACGTGTAAGCGAAAGTGGACGGTACGCCGAAACAAGGACATGCATGGTGTGTGTGAAACACAGAAACAAACTCCACCGGTGTTTGACCCAAAAATTTTCCTGCAAATAACATACATCATTTGAGGGTCTGCAGGGGGGTTGTAGAGATCTTGGCAGCGCTTAACGATAGCTTACTTCAGGGTGTAGAAACGTGTAATAGAGGACGAAAACTCCCCATTTTTTTCGGAAATTCGTGAGCTTCATAGGAAGTTATGACTAACTTTCTCTATATAGTTCAATCAAAATAGCAAAGATGTTAAATTTGTTGTCTAACAGAATGGTTTTTGACTTCTTCTTTCGGAGTAGTGGAGGAGAAACGTCCTCCTCTTCTGGTATGCGAGAGGGAGACTTTTATTATTTTGAAATGCGTGGTGATAACTTTCAAGGGGAAGTCAGGTTTCTCTGTGTATGTAATAAGAAGGAAGTTGAATAGAAAGTGAGAAAATGGGCTATTAAGTGTTGTCACATGTGGAAACCATTGGGGAAAGCCAAACTATATTTATTGGTAATGTAACGATAGATATTTGTCATCATGTCTGAACTATGGTATGTATCGCGTACTATGTCATTAAACTGAATTTAAAGTTCTGAAACTGGTCAACGACTTATGGAAGATAATTGTTAAAGATATTCGTTATACAAAAGCAGCATTAACTGCATTTTGAAGACTGAAAACCATCAGCTTACTATGATGTTTGATAATTCTGACAAGAATTACTTGTAATCCTATTAATCTCCAAGCAGATCCCTCTCGGTGGCAAAAAGACAGTATCAAATTGGCCAGACAGTATCCATTAGCCAGAGAAGCTCCATTTTGGTGGGGATCAGGACAAAAAAACGGCCATATATAAAAAGGTAACGATCATTCCCCACAACCTCTGCTTGGAGCGTAATCCTATAGCTATCTGAACGTGAATCGCATACCGTTTTTTTTTTCGAAACTGGTCGACCAAACTTCCATATGACGTAAGCTGCTTGTGTGTTCGTCTTTTTGCACACGTCACGTTCCCACCGTCTGACAAATGTTCTGATCCCGATTATTTATTCAGATCACATCATAAATTACTCACAACAGACCTTCTCACGCAAACTGACAGCGGACAAAAACCATCATGTCCTTAAACGACCCTTAAATGACGTGTAATGAGCTATGAACACTGAGGCGTGTTTTATTTATGTATGTGTGTTAGATCATGTGCATGATTACATGGCGGCACTGGTATGCTTTTAGGCCGACCCTTCTCATCTCAATGACGTCCTCATTTCTTCTTCTTTGATTGAAAGTTTATTGCAAATCCATGCCCGAGGGCTAATTGCAAGAACATGATAACAAAATGATACAGTAAAGAAGAAGTACAAGAACAGTAAAAATGATACTAAGAAACGCTAATGCTACTTTGGATATACACGTAGTTATTGTTGGATTTGATTTCTTTTCCGTGTGCAGTGGAGTATGAAATGGCCGACATTTTGCGAGATGTATGAATTGGGAGATGTTAATAAAATGCAGTTTTTTGTAGGCTGTGAAGGTAAGTAAAGATAGGGAACATTTTGGTGACCATTTCAAATAACTTATCTCTTTCGGTGCTATGATGAGGGTAATGACAAATAAAGTGCATTTCATCCTCCACTGCGTTTCCTGTACAATATTTACATATTCTATTGTTAACAATTGTTTGTATCTACCCTTGTCTATTTCTAATGTATGTGCGCTAACTCTAAGCTTACATATAGCTGATCTTACATCGAAGTATTTGATGTGAAGATAACGTTCCATGGTGTATACAGGTTTGAGATTTCTATAAAATCTTAGCTTACCGACATCAACAGAAAGATTGTATAGAAAGGTTTGGATATACATGTCAGAGAGTCTACTTCTAAGTAATGTACATATTCTGTTGCCTAGATATGTGTTGCCTATCGAGATTGACGTTGTCGTTATGCCAGATATATGAGAAATCACTGTGTCCAAGTATTTCTTTCACATGGTGTAGCAGATTTTTCTTGTGAACATGCATTATTGTATAGGGGATCTGTTTTAGCGTCTAGTTGTCTCAGTCTTAACCAATACTTGACTACACGTACGGATACGTCTGTGTCTACAGATAATCTACCAAGTTCTGCTTTGCATGCTCCGTTGCTAGCATTTCTGTGTACGCCAAGAATGTTTTTACAGAAGCGATTATGGACAGTTTCGATAGGACAGACATCATTTGAAAAATCTTTTCCCCTGATTTCGCAACCATATAACATTATTCATTTAATGACAAAGTGGCGCACACAACATTGCTTGATTTGAGATCCTTCCGAAACGCCTGGGACATGTCCTCCACGTCTTCCTCTGACGTGCGGTCATGGTCAACAAGCTTGCCGGTGAAGTGCATCTGTCCGCCGAGGAGGAAGTACACCTTGCGGTCGATGAAGGCAACTTGGGAGGCGAACTTTTGAACGCACGGAGGCTGAAGGACCACCGACCACGGCGATCCTTTCATTGTGACCTTAAGGTCAGCTCTGCACATCTCTACGGTAGCACTCCAAAATACCTTTCCATCTTTGAGAGTTTTGCCGCCTGCTATGTAGATGATGTCACCTTGCACCATGGCGGCAGCTTCTGCGTGAGGCCAAGTTGTGGGCGACACTGCTTCCCAGGCGTTATTTGGCGGGAAGAACGTGTGGACCGCTGAAGTTGGTACAACTGTGTCTTTTCCGCTCACGATTCCCTGGACATAACCACCGACTGCAAACACAGCTCCCTGACAGCTTGTTAGGGCTACTCCTTGGCAGGATCGTGGGAATGAAGGGATCTTCATCCATTGCTTCTTAGAAATGTCGTAGCAGTGAGCTTTGCTGCTGAGATTTCCCTCCATGCTCTGGACAACGAACAGCTTTTCAGCCATAGCTGTCATTTGAAAACACTTGTTACCGTTTGGGAAATAAGGAAATGGCGGTAAGTCTTTCCACCTGTGTTTTGTTGGATTGTAGGTTTGAAAAGATGACCCTTGTGCCATAAAGACTTGCGCCAACACCGCATACATGACGTTCCCTACGACAGCAACAGCGTGGATGTCACGAGGATGACGCACATTACCTTTTTCCTCTATCCACCCGTTGGCAGTGAACCTCCAGGCCTTCTTCGAATCTGATTCTAAAGCCAAGAGAACCTGGGGGGGGGGGAGTTTTAACCTAGATTATCACCTGATATCAAGGATTACTCAACGCTGATTTTAGAAATAGGAGGTGGGGGTGGTTTCTGCCATGACCATTACTGTTGTCTGTTGGTGTTACTGTAATGGTAATAAGCTTCTGGATGAAGTTTATCGAGGCCGGTTTGACAAGTAAAGATTACCATCTGGATAAATCCATGTCACATTTCGATATTACAGCAGTCTGTTAGTGAACAAGCAAAGTTTAAGCCCAGATCTTCGGTCGGCCAAACGTTATGCTTTGTAGCAAACTTACCTTTTCGTCCACTGAAGTTCTGGGCTTTGACCGTGGCCAGTCGATGCCCTGTCTGGTCTCGGGTGAAAGGCTGTGGTAGGCCATCGCTTCCAGGATCAGGTGCCTGCAGTGTTCCATGACTGCCAGGTCGGTCTGCAGGAGTCCGTACAGCATGTTCTGGTCCAGCAGTGCGAACCTCACGTGACTCAGGACACCCGCCGCTTGAGGCATCCTGGCCTGCTCGTCATGCATGAGCCAGCGTACCACCGCCTCATACAACTAAAATGGGTTATAGAAATAGTTTGGATGAAGGCATGTGTCATATGTCGTTCAACGTTGGATTTTAAATAGCTGGCCATACTGTCGATAAAGATAAAGACAATATTGTCCATATACAAGACAGTTGGAGTACGACACACTCACGGCTGTCCAAGTATTGCCCACTTTCGTCAATTCAATTTACTGTGACGTATGTGGAAAGGGTTAAACCTACACACCCATACTGTTTACATACTTTTAAAAAGTTCATACATGAATCAGCTACTTGTTTTACCTGTAGCTCCGAAGGCGAAGCAACATTGTTGGCCTGTAAAATCGTCACCAGTTGTTCTTGAGTAGTGGATTGCAGGAAATCTTCGGAAGTGCTCAGCTCTAAGAAGTTCTCCGCAAGTGCAGAATGTACCTTCTCCTGCAAGATTGTCAAGCCGTAGGCGTCAGCAACCTTCAGGTGATAGAAAATAAATAGAAAAGTAAAATTACCTGCTTGTCTGATTTGAGCAGTTCAGAATTTGAGAAATTATATCATATGACAGAAGTACTGTTGCTATTGAATTAATCAAGCGTCGCCTATCCGCATACTAACTGGCAAGAACGACAAACTGCACAATAACGTTACATAACAATATAAGATATGTAAGATTACATCAATTGTGGCGGACACTGAAAATGGCTTACCCACCTTTTGCGCTTCAGTATAATTGACTAGCTCCAGTGGTGCATCCCGCATGTTTTGTGAAATGAAATCGTAGCACAGTTTCACAATGGTCTCAACCTGTCATACAAAGTAGGACTTTTACAAGACAAACAAAAAGTGGAATGAAGTCTCTCATATCTTACATAAGGACATAACCATAGTACATAGACCAGTAAAGCTGTGGTCAGTGCACCACATTAAAGCATCTTCACATACATCTAGTAAACCACAGTATACAAAATACTTATATGTATGCATCTATCATCAATGTGACAGCTAACAAGAAATCGGAGATTTGATTTCAGACCGGTACCTCTAGAAGGTATTTGGGTCGCGTGTATTTATTTGGAATGTGGAGGGGATTGTATGATGTAATTGATCATGCCACTTTCTTGAATCCTACATAATATGCGATCCAGTGCTCCACCCAACATGTGGTTCAACGCCTTCAACCTTGACCTTCCTATCAATCAACTGTCAAAACCATTTCCCAATTACCATCATGCAACCAAAGGAATCAGGACAGGCATAGGAACCAAGAAGAAGGTTATGTAGGATTCCATACCCCCCCCCCCCCTGGAGATACAAAACCTAACTCAGCCACCCAAAAGTAGTTTCGTATACCCGGAAGAAATTACTTGATCGACCTGTGAAATGTTTCCTCATCTGATATAGCACTCACACGTAAGCCTACCTGTAGGTGATTGGCCACTAAGAGAACATCGTACACGCTCTCAGTAGACACCGCAAGTTCGCCAGAATACAGGAAGTTCAGAAGCAGACGGAAACCCTTCGCACTGATACACGGGTCCTTCAGCTCCACTCGATTGTCTTGACTTTCCTTCATACCTATAGCCGTAAAAAGAATCGAGACCAGTCCATATCACACCGAGGGTCCTAGTCAACATTCACAACATTTACTAAAAAAGTAAATAGAATATTCGTGCCAACTCGAGTATGCTTGTAGACAAATGCTCACAGTGTATAGTGGTATAGAATCGAGCTTTAGGAAGTCACTGACCCGAACATGGGAATGAACGCTGAAAAGACGCCATTGATCTATAACGATAACATGTACATTCCTACCACGTTCCTACCAGTTGGTCCAAAGTTGAGTCAAATATCGAAGATATATACGTCTATAAATATCCTGTAACATGCCCTTGGCCAGGCTTTTGCTTGGGGCGGGTTCTGCTCAACAGTTTCTAAATTATATAAAGATTGAATTGTCAGACTACCTGAAGAAAAAAGGCGCCGGAAGTAGTCGCTGCCGTAGGCCAGGACTGTAGAGTGCGCCCTGAACTCCTCCTCCCCTGCAACAACCGTCACGTCCAGCAGGACTCCCTCCGCTCTCATGTCGTTCAGTACCGACAACATGTCGTTACCGAACGCTGGGTCACTCAGGGTACACTGTACTTCTTCGCCAACTTTAGCGCTGCTGTCCGCCATTTTTATTGGCGTCTCAGGTGAGTACCTTGACTTACAGGTGAGACATGGGCGTGTCTGACAAATAAGCAATGTTTTCTTAAGCAATGGTGCGTACGCCGACGTCACAGGGCTTTTTGAAATTGTACAGAGAAGTGAGGGCCTGCATGGGGGTGGGTGGGGTAGTGATTACGAACTACGCAAAATTTTCGCCGCCGATTACGAAAGTCTCAGAGCTGATTACGACTTTACGATTTGCGGCTAATGTCCTATTACGAATTACGTTGATTTTTGCGGAGGCTGCCTACGAATTACTAACGTCTAAAAAGGCCAGATTATGCCTTACGAAAAAGGGCATGCAGGGCCCCACAAGTAGTTTAGATGTGACGAGCAGAATAGACGTTCATTGCAAATATATGCCCGAGGGCTAATTGCGGGTACAAACAACGTGTATGAGAAAACAAAATACTGGCGGAACTATCGAAACCAGGCCACCTAAACTGCTGGTCCGAAAAAAACAACAACACTGAAACTGGAGCCGAAACCATTGCAGTGATGCGTTCACTGGATGTTAAGTTGCAGTCTGTCACTCAATTTCCCCTTCCTTAGCCCAATCAACTTCGGTGCCCGGTTGATTGGTGTCTTGCCCATGTCGTGCATGCATTAGATGTTGTCTTGGATACCGAAAGGTCTGTTTGGATGTGAAAGAACTACGCTACAACAACTACAATTGACCTTGTTTCCCACCAACAGGGCTTTTATTGTCACAAAGCTACTACTGCATAAATCTTACGTACTATTCGTCACTACTGAAAAAGCGTAATATCAAACCAGAATTCTCCAATACATACAATGCAATTACAATTCCCAACCAAGAGTATGATAATTTAAAGGCATTTTAATATACTAGAGAAATAAACTTTTTATGCAATTTATGCAATTTACCTACTTCAATTTACATACTTAGCCAGTATGACTAAACATTTCAAACTGTCAGCCGGTTAATGTCGTCTAAATATCTTGACAATTCTTCAGAAATGTTTAAAACAATACTTCATTGGATCATCCGTGACAGCAACCCTTAATTATTCAAGAAATAGTGGTAGTAAATCAAACTTTGGTGATTCGTATGACACAATAAATCAAATATGTTATCCGTGATACTACTGCTGCAACAGCCCGGTCAAATGTGAAGGGTCTGGTTTATGTCTTATCCAAGATTATGAAGCAATATTATTATTATTGTGTGTTGTGTAGAATTTAGATTTCAAAAACATGTCCTAGATTCATATAGACTTGTTACAAACTCATGGGTCGATAGAGCTGTACATGATTACATGGCGGCATTGGTATGCAAAGACGTCCTCATTTCTTCTCCTTTAATGACAAAGTGGCGCACACAACGCTGCCCAGTGGGAGACCCTTACGAAACGCCTGACACATCTCCTCCACGTCTACCTCTGACGTGCGGTCATGGTCAACAAGCTTGCCTGTGAAGTGCATCTGTCCGCCGACGATGAAGTACGCCTTACGGTCGATGACGGCGACCTGGGAGGCGAACTTGTGAACGCACACGGGCTGAGGGACCACCGACCACGCTGAAACGGCCACGCCATCCATGACGAAGACCCTACACATCTCGACAATGGTGTTGGTAACTTTCTCACCGTTGACGACCGTGACACCGCCCCCTATGTAGATGGTGTCACCTTGCACCATTGCAGTTGCACCCGCATGGGGTTGGTTCGTGGACGACACCGTCTCCCACGAATTCTTCGCCGGGAAGAAGGTTTGGACTTTTGAAGTTGGTGTACCTGTTACTTTTCCAGGACCCGCGACCGGCGTGCCGCCGAAGCTGAAGCCACCACTCTGCACCACCGGCGCCTGCATCTGCCCCGCGGGTCGGCGATTACCACCGACTGCAAGCACAACTCCCTGGCAACTTACCAAAGCTACCCCATCCCCGTTTACGGCTACAGGCCGGATCTTTGACCATCGCCCCGCTGCAATGTCGAAAGACCAGGCTTTCTTCTGATTACTACTAACGAGGAAAAGCCTAGCACCGACAGCAACCATCTTTGCTTCGCCTGACCAATAACGAACAGGAGATATCATGTTACTGACTTGGCCAATGCCGGGGACAGAAACCGCCTGAGCATCTCGTAAGACGCAACCATCAGGTGTCGCTAGCGTGTTGACACTGTTTGTTGTTGGGTCAAAGGACTTGAAATGTGGAGATGATGAAAACAGCATATACAGCACGTTCCCAACGACAGCTGCTGCGATGACAGTCGTGTTTGGGTCTTGGCCTCCGAGTGAAACATCACCGCTCTGTTTCCATCCTTCCGCTGTGAAGATCTGTGCTGTCGAACTCAAAGCTAGCGACGTCTGTTGAAATCAAAGTTCAAGACAAGTCAAGACTATTTTCTGCCAAAAGAGAAAATTCATGTTTTGATATACATGATATACTTGTCCTAGTTTCCCGTTTCTAAAATCCCATGAGAGCTGAATAATTTTCAAGAGATGTACACAAAGACGTAACGTACCTTAACGTTATTTTGTGCCCTCGGCTTCGACCGTGGCCAGTTTAAACCTCGCCTGGTCTCGGGAGAGAGGCCGTGGTAAGCCATCGCTTCCAGGAGGAGGTTCCTCCCCTCTGGTGTTGCTCCAAAGTCGGTCTCCAACTGCCCATACAGGACGTCTACATCGAGTAGGGCGAGCTGCACATGACTGAGTACCGCCGCTGCATGCTCCATCCGGCCGGCGTCGTGTGTCAGCCATCGTATGGCCGCCTCATACACCTGGTAAAAAGGAGACTTTTTGTCATTCTAATTACTGAAATATTTGTGTTGTACCCTCTCTCACTATAAACTCTGGACACTATAACTGATTTTTATAGGCAATGCCACTTTATCATTTACCATTAACATTATGCATGTATGTATGTATGTATGTACCCAACATTATCAACATGGTCATCGTAAAGGTTGCAAGTTGCAGTGACTTTACCTGTTGTTCGGATGGTACCACAAGATTCTCAAACAGTAAGAGCTTGATCAGCTCGTCCTTGGTAGCAGACCTCAGGAAGCCCTCGGAGCTGGTCAATTCCATGAATTCTTCTGCAACCACGGCATCTAGCGACTCCTGTAGGTTCTTCATGTTGTACAGGTCTGCAACCTTGACACAAGTGAAGGAATATAATTAGATTGGTATACAAAGAAGAAAGAAAGAAACACATTTTCAGGACTCTCATTGAAAAATGCAAGACCTTACAAAATGAAAATGGGAATTCGAAGTTTACCTGGATTCCTCTGGTGTATTTTGCCATATCAAAATGAGGATCACGCAGATTTTGCACGATAAAGTCACTGCAAAGACGAAGGACCGATTGAACCTGCAGTTCATTGAGAAAGTGCATGGTGGCGCAAAACGTATTACTACAAATGTAGTACGTGCAACATTTGATCATTTTCGGCGTAAATGAAGTCGTAATTCGCAGGGAAACGCATATAATACGGCCGAAAAACAAATGCAAGATGGTGGTAGGGCATACATACATACACAAACAAGGTAAACGAAGTCCTCGATCAATTCCTTATCTCACAGCCTAGTCCTTGTATCACAGATCGCACAGAAGTATTTTACCTGCAGATGGTTGGCGACGGCTAGAACCTCGTACACGCTCAGCGAGGACACCACGAGCTGCCCGGTGTACAGGAACTCCAATAGGAGACCAAACGCCTCCGCTGTCAGGCTGGGGTCTTTCAGATCGACACGTTTCTCCTGACTCTCCTTCATACCTACAGGCACGCGATAGAAAGCAAACAAGCCATGAGAATGTGTACTTTTAACTTTACACCTCTGGCTTAACCTCCAGGAAGCAAACTTTCTTTGGAAGCATGCTGGCCCTGGTACCGAAGAGCTGGTCTGTGTAAGCCCTGGTGCTGATGGTCTACATTCTTCTTTTAATTTCTTGCTTACATTAGGCTAGGGAGCTAGTAAATGCACTCAAGATCCTATTTGTGACATGGCAAACTGGGCGTAGCGTCGAAACTAGTCGGCCATGTTGGTCTAACATACTTAATACTTACCCGATGCGAACAAACCCCGGAAGTAGTCGCTGCCGTAGGCCAGGACTGTAGAGTGCGCCCTGAACTCTTCCTCCCCTGCAACAACCGTCACGTCCAGCAGGACTCCCTCCGCTCTCAGGTCGTTCAGCACCGACAACATGTCGCCGCCGAACGCTGGGTCTGTCAGGGTATGGTGCACCTGTTCGCTAGCCGCCATTGTCGTTAGCTCCGCTCCTTAAATTGCTTGTGAAAGGGTATGTAAACAAAGAAGGGGTGTGTACAATGACGTCACGAAAGTATAAAGGTCAAGTTACCACAGTATTGCTGTTTAGGGTATGAAGGGTTAAATGTACGCGATGGAATAAACCAGACAATCGAAACTGTCGGTACAACGCAACAGATCGACACCGAAACTGTAACTATGGCGGAGATCTGTGAAAATTGACTCCTTTGGAACTTAGCTGACGGTGGACTTGCTCGTGTCGCATGTAGAGAAAGGCTTGCAAACGCAAAAGGTACCAGGTACACAGTGAACAGGCATGTTGAAACGTGGCGCCATTTTCCGATTACGCTCTGTCGACGTCAATGGCCGAGAATTATGTTTTCGGTGCAGTTGGCCTGTCTGACTGTAGGCAGCACAACTGGAGAAATTGTAACTTAAACTACAGCTCTGACTTGCATATCGAATACAGTGTTGCCTATTGGATACTGTCTTGCCTATTGGATACACTTTGCCTATCGGACATTGCCTTGGCTATTAATTAAATATACTGCATGTCTTGTCTTATACAGTAACACTAAATTAGGGTTAGCGTATACCCTAAATTAGGGTTAGCTAACCCTAAACGAGGGCTACAGTAACCCTAATTTAGGGTTATACTAAATTAGGGTTAGCGTAACCCTAAATTAGGGCTTCTTCATCCTTGCCCCCACTCGTAGCCCTCCCTAAAACTCATCCTTGCCCCCACTCGTAGCCCTCCCTGATCCTCATCCTTGCGCCCACTCGTAGCCCTCCCTGATCCTTGCCCCCACTCGTAGCCCTCCCAGATCCTTGCCCCCACTCGTAGCCCTCCCTGATCCTTGCCCCCACTCGTAGCCCTCCCTGATCCTTGCCCCCACTCGTAGCCCTCCCTGATCCTTGCCCCCACTCGTAGCCCTCCCCGATCCTCATCCTTGCCCCCACTCGTAGCCCTCCCTGATCCTCATCCTTGCCCCCACTCGTAGCCCTCCCTGATCCTTGCCCCCACTCGTAGCCCTGCCTGATCCTTGCCCCACTCGTAGCCCTCCTGATCCGTTCGCCCACTCGTACGCCCTCCCTGACTCCTTGCCCCCACTCGTACGCCCTCCCTGATCCTTCGCCCCCACTCGTACGCCCTCCCTGACCCTCATCCCTTGCCCCCACTCGTAGCCCTCCCTGATCCTTGCCCCCACTCGTAGCCCTCCCTGATCCTTGCCCCCACTCGTAGCCCTCCCTGATCCTTGCCCCCACTCGTAGCCCTCCCTGATCCTCATCCTTGCCCCCACTCGTAGCCCTCCCTCATCCTTGCCCCCACTCGTAGCCCTCCCTGATCCTTATCCTTGCCCCCACTCGTAGCCCTCCCTGATCCTCATCCTTGCCCTGTGAAATATCATCAAACATTAATATGGTTGAAGATTGTAAGAAGTAGTGATTTTGGGGTGAAAATTTCTTTTGACTCCGAAGCTTACTTCCTGGTATTCTTGCGCACCAAGTGTAATCCTCCCGTTTGACCTAGATTTCCCTCTTCGGCTTCCTCATTGTTGATTTGCTGCCTCTTGCGCCTTGGATCATTTAAAAAAATACAGTCCTAGGATTTTCTTTATAATTTACTCGGGTTTCGTCAAGGTTTGTGTCTTTCTGCCAGTATTAGTCATTTCTGACGGAAATTATTTTTCTATGTGGTTATCCTAAGCGAAAATTCACCGTTTCGTGCATTAATTTGGGAGTGAAAATAATGTTTTTTTTCTGTTGATTTTTACCAAAATTAAAAGAGGTTGAAGAAACCAAACTCAGATAGTCGTGTAGCTGACGAGATATCTGCTTTCGTCCCATTACAGTTATACTGTGGGCATGCAGCTTTCCTCTATTCTTCTTGCTGATTGACTGCTGGGATTTAATTGGGCTATTGACAGTATGAACTGCATTTAAGTGTTTTGGTAGGTATGTCAAACTTTCCTGCTCCGGCATTGGAATGCGGGGCATAAACGCTTTTTAGAACCATTTTTGGTACGGGGGATGTGGTGAATCCATGCTGTATTTGCTCCTGAGCAAATGTCGGCCTTTCTAGTTACTATTGCCTTCGTATGCTTAATTAAGGAAAATAAATTAACAGTATTGTCTGGACTTCTTTTTGCATTCACATACGAACACTATATTTCCTCGGACAGGATTCAAAACTGATCAAGCAGTTCGGTTACTACTGAATGGCAGTCTTGATTGGCTGTTTTCCTTGTTACCGGCCTACCTACCGTCTTGAAGACGTTAAAGTATGTTCTATTGAATAGACTTAAATTGGTCATTTATTCTCTTCATACTCTGCACAAATGCTACTCATTGGCTCTGTTAGATCTCTCACTGTTTATTCTTAGATTGAGAGAATCAGTAATGAATACAATTGTTCAACTGTACGTGTGTACGCACGCGTCTGTAGAGCGCCAAAACACCTACACAACCTACTCAGTATCATATACATCAATAGATTTACGCTTAAATCATTCAAACACTTAGTATACGTGTACTGACCAATCCACCAAGGACATTATATTAACCAAACAGACAAGTAAATAACTGGTATCTCCGGAACACAGGATACTAACTTCCATACTTCGAATCTACCAGTGGATTTACATTTCATGTAGTATATAGGTATATTTACATCAAAATTAACAAAATCTACTATTATTTACAGCATTATATTGAACTGGTCACATAATGCATAAGGAAATACATTCATTAAGGCAATCTTGAATGCAATATTAACTAAATTCGCAATGCCCTTAGCATGTTTGGACACCAAGTGTCAGCAGATGGGATGTCAGTCTTACTTCACAGACAATACAAAATTGTTGGAAATATATACTTACACTGTCTAATGCTACCATTTCCATCTTGTATTGTTTTATATTCCAAAGCTAAGCCAAATCATTCTTTGGTTACTGTATTTCACACATAACATACACATTTGGTTACTATATATCGTATTTCACACATAACATACACATTTGAATGTTGTTGTCACTGACTTGCAAACTGGTGAATCTACCATGATTTTTTTCTGTCCCAATAAAACCTCTACAATGATTAGATTAGTACACTTCTACACTGGGGAGGTTCACATTTTTGTGGTTAGGTGGAGCAAGTCTTGCACTTGCCGTGCCCTGGTTGACTATTATGCGGTTTACTGTGGCGGGTTCTCCCGAGGGTACGTACTGTTCACTTCTACCTGCAGCATCTCCCTGTATACGTATGTTAGTGACATTTCCCGATCCTACCTGTGGATTCACATTGCTCCTCCGTGCCATGGAAACAAGTGCGTTAGGAATAGCAGTGATGCTCTGCCAGATTCCATTTCTCAAGTCGGGTGTGCGAATCATACTAGCGACCGGGTTAATGGCTGAATTCCATGTCATTACGACAGCTAGGATTAATAGCCAAAGTGAAGCGAAACATTCGTCCACACTGATGAAGCAAACAAAAGAAAGGACGGCAGGAAAGAGCCAAAAGATAACGGCCACCGAAACATGGATCATAACCGTTCTTGCCTTGTGCACCCTTTCTTTGTATCTTCTTTGTGCCTCATCGTTGTGAGACTGATTTGACCCTAGATTGTTGTGCTGTAGCGCTGCCTGCTCCAGCCTTCTTTTTTCTCGCCGTTTGATAGTAACGAATAAACTGGCAGTTGTGAACAGCATGGTACTGGCTATGATAAGGATTATAACGGTTACGATACCATGGTAAGCATTATAGTAAAAGCCAGTGCAGCTTGGTGCAGGCATGTCAATACAGTTCCAACCCATATAAGGTGAGAAGACAACCAAGGACAGAACAAGCCATGAAGATACAATAGCTACAACTGCATCACGTTTTCCATTGAAAGAATGGGTTTGGAAAAAAACGGGATACCTGACAGCGACATAAGAGTTCAGAGACAGTAATGCTAAAGCCGACACAGACATCACCTGACCATACATCAGTACAGCTGTACTAATCTTTCTGCTATCCACTCTAGTTATTCCCACCTGGCTTCCTATTCGATACAGCACCCCAATTCCAGTTACGACGTCGGAAACTGACACGTTTGCCATGAAAATTTCGTGAGCTGTGCGGAGTTTTCGTGTTCTGAAGATTCCCCAGAGCACAGCGGCGTTCAGGATGATGATGAGAAGTCCTGTCAGCCAGCAGGTGACGGTCAGCACTGTTCCCAGCTCCATGGTGTTTGTTGTCTCGTATACGTAGATGGGGCGAGCTTCTTTGCCTCGGGCGTAGGAGAAGTAGCGGACAGGGGAGCGGCTTGTCGACCGGGTGCGTCCCCAGCAACCAATATTAACAGAAGGACTGGACGGTTGTTAAAAACGGACGAACTGTTTCTGGATGAAGTTTGACAGACTTGGGAGTTCTACTGATCCCCGATCCGAGGATGGCTATCTTGTCGGTGGTGATGAACCGGGTCTTGGTGAACTCTGGCAGACTTGTGAGGGCCGATCTCAGCAACCAACAGAAGGACTGGGCGATTGTCAGACACGGACGAACCGGATCGGGTTGAAGCTGACAGCAGACTTGGAAGGACCGATCTCTTGAGCAGAGAATGTCTGTCTTGTCGATCGGTGGTTACGAACTGTTTTTGGAGTCTATTAAACAGACTTGGGGGGATATCTGAGCTTCGAATTGTCTGTCTTGTCGATGAACCGGCTTTCGTCGAAGTCCTACAGACTTTGGAGGACCGATTTCTGAGCTGCCGACGTCTATCGTGTCGATGGCGACTGGTTCTGGTAGAAGTCTGACAGACTTGGAATCCGGAGTCCGATCTCTGAGCGGATGATGGTCTATCTTGTCGATGGCGACTGTTGCATGAGACAGAGCGTAGCCGCACCTACTGACAAGACTGCCGGTTCTGTGTGAGCCAGGAGTGTGTGTGGTATGTGCTGTTCTCTCCGTTACACAAGCGAGTCTAACACTAGTGCATTAATGAGCTGACAATGTGGCTACTTACGTTGCTACAGGGATGAGAAGTTGGAACTCCTGTATACGTCACTGCAACACAAGTCCGAAGTAACAACTAAATGGTCAATTCTTCGTTAATATACGATAGTCTGTTTCGGTTATCGCCATTATATTGAAGTACTAAATAGCTACAATTAGCAATTTAGAATATTGTCTGGACTTCTGTCAATCATTTTCAGATGTACACTTTTCTTTGGATGAAGAATATGCATCGGTAACAAATGTATTACTAATTGGCAGTCTGTTTTGGTTACCAGCAACACCACCAACGTTTGCCATATTGAATAGGTAGAAATCTGTTTGTCTTTTTCTTGGGCACCAAAATACTTACTAGTATTAAGTGAGGCATTCGCCATTTCGGATGGTGTGGTAAAATGTATTAACGTAAACAGGACAAGTGTCATATAGTACCTTTTTTGCCATGTGCATCATACAACGAAAACAACACAGCAGCATTATAAGGATAGGTCTTTAATCCTTTGGCAAGTATTCTGATACATGTACATATAGACAGTATTCTCAAGTACAGTACAGCAAACACCTTCTTTAAAATCGGTTCTATGATCAGGTTTGATACCATGGACACTATGATTACAATATAGCATGCCATAGGACCTAGGCGGTTTGTATAACAGCTCTACTTCAGGGGCTGATTCCATGAGTTAGTATTTTTCAATCAATTACTATAAAATACAACAGGCCTTGGCAGGGCTGACTACAATATTTTGGACAAAAGTGAGCTACGTACATGTACGTGTATAATTCATAACAATGGTCCTTTTTAGTTACATTTTGTAGGTACTCAAAAAAATGCAGTGAATTAGAACCCAAACCAGTTTCTCAGTGAATACAGACATAGCAAGAAACATAGTGAACATACACATTTGTAAGGTACAACATTTATGAGTTGTGCTGAATACATACTCAATTACAACAAACTTTTTTAGTTGTACAGCTCCAATTTCGGGTGCACGAAAGTGCATAATTTATGCATCCAGTAGTTCAATCCACAGGCTCTATATGACATACACAAATTTCACTGCAAGATGGAGGACATTTGCAAGATTTAGGACAGACAAAATTTCGAGCTCATCACAAATTCACACAGGTCTACATGTATAATCGTTGATCTTATCCTCTGAAAGGTTGCTTTTTGTAGTCTTGCAAACAAAATCATTATGATGATAGACTAAGAATTAGTTAGCTTTAAGGGGGAAATTGTTGGCATACTACTAGTGCTGTGGCAAATACTGTATTGCTATGTTAAATCTAAAAAGAGAACAGAAATATAACTTCTGCAAGTACTGAAGTTATAATATGCTTGAAAAGTCAAACATTGAGTCCAACTTCTTAGGCCAAGACACTTACTTAATTGTCAAGCAGTAGTTCTACATGTACAAGTAATTCTAGTAGTTCATCAGCAGTATTTGTATAAATTTGTGCTTTCACGAATATTTAAAGTCCTAACCTTCCAGAGAATATCATCAGTGCCATCACCTTGGCTAGTGGCTCATATACAAGAGTGTACAATAGACGTCTAAAATCTCTTATATACAACTAGACAAAATATACAATCCACAGGATAAAAATTGGGTCTCGGTAACAACAATCACTTGACACTTTGAGCCCAACCCTACTGGTTAGGAATAGTCTCTTGTAGTTATATGTACACTTTCAACGTGCTATTTGTGCATTCATAGACAATGAGTGTGTCATTCTCAAACGCGATGTTATCAAAGAAAGGAATCATGCAGCATAAGAAGAAAAACATAAAGATTACAAGTTAAGAAATATTCAATTTGTACCCCACTAGACATTAATATATGTACTGCATCAGGGCATTACAACCATCCCTCAACCATGATCCACTGCTCACAGAGTCATGTGTGCCGTCAATCTGTCATTCCTTCACAAAGATTACAGTTGTATAGTGGAAAATTTGGGTACTGGTAGGTCAAATTTCTGGTGTTAGAAATTACAGTTTAAACTTGCTTCATAACATTTCTACTTACTAGATTTTTTAAAACAAACAATTGGACTGGTATACAATAATTTAGATACACCTAGTGACACCTTTAGGTTCAGAATCTTTCTAGGATACTGAAAGCGGTTATGAACCTATTTTGTTCCTTTTTGGCAAGTTTACTCTCACTATTCTCTCAAAGTTACTACCTGAACTTTATGAAATTCAATTTTACATTAGAAATAAGGAGCAAACAATATATTGGTGAAATGTTACAAAATATTACAGTCAAAATTTCAATTAGTTTTTTTAATATGTTAAATATTTTACAATATTGATAAATATTTGACACAGGGCTCCATTTTCTATAAACAATAATGTTTGTTTCAATCCTATTCAGAAAACATAAATTATATCTTTACACTAGTAAGACATTTCAACATTTCTACATAGATGTATTGTACATGCACCCCTTTCACAAAATTTTGGAAATGTTCTAACACCCCTTTTTGAGTAGACTTTTGGCTATGTCTGAAAAAAGAACATCCAATTCATAATCTACATGGAATGCTTCACAATCAAAAGCAAAAAATGCATAATACACGATGTATATGCATCATATAGGGGCCATATTTAGCTTTTATGATATTAACTTAAAATTTGACATCATCTTACAACTATTGCAACATCTGCAATTCAGGTGTGGATGTCAAAGAAACAGAATTCAAGTTATACTAGGTGCATTAATGAGTTTGAAACATTTTCTAAGTTTGCTTCAATATTTCAATGGTTACATTTCAACCCTTTTCAAAATATACACAGCCACGGAGGAAAACAATTGTATACTCCTAGACTTCATAATAGAAAAGTGTATTTCTTCAGGCATCCAATGCAATTTCAGGGTGGAAAAAATGGATTTTCAAAGTTAATTTTCTGGTCATTTTTTTCATGTAGGAAGTTGAATTAATCCTAACCTTTAGCATACTGATATCTGTGAGGAAAGAATGTGATGTCACGGTTGCTTGTTTTGTATCCTAGCTTTTCTCTAGCTATTTATGGGCAGTACCCAAAAATAATTGTACTCATGTAGCTTGTTTGTTGGCTCTTTCAAACATTTCAAGTATGAAATAATGACAAAATGGGTTACGAAATGGCAGTAAATTTCACTATCACACAAATTTCTTCATCCAGACTATTTTAGTTCTGCCACCCTGAGATTGCATAGGATGCCTTTAATTAATTAAGTTTGTGTATAAAAGATTTATTTTGAGTCAACCCAAGAATGTCCTCATGACATCTGCTGTTTCCACCTGTCTTTCTTGTTCTGTCCGCCGGGGGGCGCTCTTGTGTCCATCCTGGCCTTTATCCTGGGCGACTTGGAGTGCAGCTTGGTGAAGATTTCCCGGAACTTGTTTTCCGGGAAGAGGGTCTCCAGGATCCCCTCCAGGACGACGTAGAGAAGCCTCCTGTTCAGCCGCGGGTACTGGCACATCTCGAAGACGCGCGTCACTCCTTTTCTCGTCGTCTCGGCACCAATCACGTGCTTCAACTCATCTGGGTAAGGAAGACAGGAAACTTGAGTATAAAACAAGAAATGTTTCTAAAAGAAAGCTATCTAGGGGTCAAGATGGGAATAGCTGGTGGTGTGAAGGTGACGATAATGTGTTACTCAAATAATTGGTCCCCTTGGTGACTTAATTTGGATCAATGCTAACAAAACTGAACATAAGGTTATGTCTCCAACACCCATCAATCATGATGCTGCAGTGTAAACCTAAGCAAAATTTTTATCAGAAAAGACATACAAGCCCTGAGTCTTGATTATTACTTGACATTGCCTCATACATGTATATATATAAAACAGGCTTTACAAGTGGATTTCTGTCAGAAATCCCAGAGATTCTGTATTCTTCTATTGTATTTCTTTATGTCCTTAAGAAGTGAGTAACACATGAGCACCTGGGATGCTGCCCAGCATTTTCGTCTTGGCGGCGACTCTGGTCCTCATACAAATGTTCTTCTCTCTGATCTCTGCCGGGTCAGCCAGGACTCCGTTTGGCCAGAACGCATCCCTGGGAAATAAAGTAATGATATATTTTGTACAGCAAAGTATACTTTGGTGGTAATAGGTTCATGTGCACTGCAGTAATAGGTTTGCTCCGCTCCGCACAGGTTCCGGCACAGGGTTGTCAGACATAAAAAAAAGAAAAGATACAGCTTCTTTTGTATTGTAGGCTGGTTTTGGCTTTTTATTGGTTTTACCCAAAACATAAAGAGGAACATAAAGAGGTGCCTCACATAGCTTGTTATTGGGCTATTTCAAACACTTCAAGTATGAAACAATGGCAAAAATGTGCTAAGAAACAGCAGTAAATGTCACTATCAGACAGATTTCCTTATCAAGAGGACTAATAAGGCATAAGTCAAGTCAAGTAAGTCAAGTCTCCTCTCACCTGAACTGTTTGACGTACTCTGCGACCTGCTCTGCGGAGGTGAGCACGCCGACCTGCTCCACGATCTTGCGGTTCATCTTGTCCCCGAGGATGGCGCGGATGATCTGCTGCAGCAGGGCCACGATCTGCCGCCGCAGCCACTGGTTCTTATCCTTCAGGTCAAACACCTCGTCCATCAGCAGCAGCATGATGCGCAGCGGAATGTTGTCATCGATCTGGGGGAAACAAACAAACAAACAAACAAACAAGTCAACATCTGCAGTATGATGCGCAGCGGAATGTTGTCATCGATCTGGGGGAAACAAACAAATAAGACAACAATGGCTGGGATGACCTGGCAAACAAGTCAACACAGCAGAATGTTGTAGTCAATCTGGGGGAGACAAACAAACAAACAAACAAACAAACAAATCAACATAGGGGAATGTTCTTGTCAATCTGGGGGCAACAAAGGAACAAACACACAAGTCAACAATTGCTGGGATAAACTGGCAAATTAAGTCAGTAAAGTGGAATGTTGACTTACATTGTCTTCGATGTGTGCCGAGACTTTGCAGTCGTCATATCCTTGTGGGGACTTCAAGACCTACAAAAACACAGAAACACTTTCAACACTTTAACATTACTCAATAAATCTCATATGATATCACAGTCAAGCCATGCAAAAAAATTTTGACTTTAAGATTTACAGTTTACGTACATCAACAAGATGTACAAACTACACTGCAAGCAACAATATGGAAAGTTGTTACAGTTTGTTACCTTGTTGCCAATCTTGCCGAGTTTGTCTGACACAGAGTCTGATACTTTCCCCAGGCCGTCGGAAACTTTCCCCACACCCTCAACCAGGTTGTCCGGCATGGACTTGACCACGTTAAACGTGTTCCTGACTGAGTTCCGCAGTGGGTTCACCAGCGTATCCATCTGTCAACAAACGTAGGAGAGTCAAATCATCTCTTGTATCTACGATAACTTTATCCAGTAGCAGCATGCATACACCAGAGGTTAGTGACTCTACGTCTGGACCAAGAGGCTGTGAGTTTTTGAATCTCGGCCATTCTCGCCCGACTTCCATGCTACTGGAAAGGGTCACAGTGAGTCCTGTGGTCCATTGTTTAGTGTGATGGTCAAAAAGAGCAAGGTGAAGTGAATAGAAATACAGGTACATTTGTAAGTGTAGGCAGACTTCCTGTCAGTCTTTGGTTACACCATTTCCCTCCTCACCTCCTTTGATTCCACTGTACTACTAGTATTAAAAATATCTATGGACACAAAAGCAAACACATAGTCAAACACACCCAAAACACAACCTTCATACACAGAGGTAAATGTGACAAAGGAGTATGCCTGCCTACCTTTCTAGCCAGTTGACCTTTGCCCTTGTTGTAGGCCTTGTTCTCCAGAAAATCCAACATGGCTTCCTTCATCCCCGGGTTGTTCTTCAGAACATCTTCACACAGTAACGTCTGGAGGGTACAAGAAGGGGTTTCAGAACAAGGCAATCAGAGATGGCAGACTTCGTTCCCTTGCCAATACAGCTTCAAGACCCTTCCAATTAGACACACACGACATACACACACTGTCAGTCACACACACACACACACACACACACACACACACACACACACACACACGACACACACACACTGTCAGTCACACACACACACAGACACACACACAAACACACACACACAGTCAGTCACACACACACACAGACACACACACACAAACTGTCAGTCACACACACACACAGACACACACATACACACACTGTCAGTCACACACACACACAAACACACACACACACACACACACACACTGTCAGTCACACACACACACACACACAGACACAGGCAGACACACATACATGCTGTTACAAATAACTAAAGCCTACTAACCTGCAAATACTGGTTCAGCTCTTTTCTCCTCTTCTCCAAAAACTCCTTGTTGAGATTTTTAAACGTCTTCTTGGCAGGAAGTTTTAGAGCGTACAGGGAGTCAAACTGTAAAGAGCAAAAACATGAAAATTTGGTCTAATATATTCGTGTAGGAAAGTACAGTAATTTAGATTTGTTTCATAGTAGCTTGTTGACTTTATACTTGTCTAGGAAAAGATTTGTACTTACTTCTAACTGATGGAATCATCACATTCTACAGAGGTCTTCTCAAAAACCTAGATAAAATATTTGAAAAACAGTATTTCCTAACATCTTGTTGACAATACATACTTTGTCCTTGAGCCTCATGTGAAGGTCGTGGAAGTCGCTGTATCTGCGGAACGTGTCCCAGACCTCCTCCTCGATCGGCGTCTCTTTCCTCACATTGATGGCGTACAGCGCGTACTGCTTCCCATGCTCCTTACAAATTCCTTAGGGAAACAACAGACGAGTCCTTTCTTTAATCTGTCCAACTGATAGTTGTCTATACATGTACTGTTCGTTACGCATATAATTCACTGTAAATTCGTAAAATTTTACTGTCATGGAGGGTGTATTTTGCAATTACTACTTCCCATGCTCCTTACAAATTCCTTAAAAGAAACAACAGTCATTTCTTTAATCTGTCGGGTCTGATAGTTGTCTATCCTCCAAGGAACCGTTTTCCATCAGCAACATCACATTTTTGCTCCCAGATATCAGTAAGCTATGGAATGGATTGATTAAACTGACTACAATTTAAAAGAATGATCAGAAAATTGATTTCAAATTCGGTTCAAATTCTTGAAATTACACTGGATGCTTTTAAGGTCCTTAACTGTACCTAGAGGTAAATAATCTTACTGTACAGGTATTACATACACAACTCATCAGGTACACAACACGAACAGGGCTGGCTAAACTCTCACCTGTCTGCATGATCTTGGCAGTGAGCTTGATCTGGTCCTCTCTGATTGGGCTCTGCACAGAATATATAATATACAAAACTTTAATTCTAAATTTATACACACAAATATAGTATATTATACATTTAACTTAACAGCCTCTTTTCAGCAATATACAGATTGACAAGTGAGGTAATACAATGCGTTCTCTGTGTTATATCAAGTCAAGCCATATCAAAAAGTCGAAACATACTTACTAGCAACCATGATCCTGATCCTTCAAGAGCTGAAAAAAACCACAAAACCGATGAGTTATACGGAAAAATGTTTCCTTGCTTGAGACCTTTGCAGCGATACACACGTATGTACATGTAACTGTACATGTAGCCCACTTTCAAATACATAAAGGAAGGGGCAATGTGATCCAAGATCCTAACGGGCAAAGAAAGCCTAAGGCTGACAAGAAATCTTTTTTAGGAATGAGAACATTCAAACAACTCGAGATCAGACTTACAAGCTCACATACCAATGGCTAAACACCAGTGCATTGCAGTGAGAACTACATACACATAATAAAAACATGAAATTCTCTACCAGAAATTGTTGGTACTGTAGAGACAGTGATCAGCTTCAAGGCAAGGCTGGATGAATTCTGGCACAAGACAAACGCGACATGAACTAAGGGTGACACGACAGGTTTAGACCTTGTTTCACCGAAGACTCCTTACAGACTATGCTCAAGGAATGTAAGCAAGGAGCAAGGTCAGCACCTGGGCTGAGCAAGAATGCTGTCATACTCATACATGTACACAGATGTACACATGGAGGGGAAAACATCTGGCTAAAAGGAAAACAAAACCTCTCTACGGACTGCAGATTAGAATATCTACTTTACTTCATAAATAAACACACCAGAGATGACGTACATGTATGGAAGCCAAAGGTATTATATATTACACCATTTCTGTTCCTTGGTTCTCATACATTCTAAAGTAACATGAAAACAGAAGAGAAAAAGAACTCAAATCTGCTAAATAATATTCATGCTCTGTAACAATCTATACCAAGAAACAGACCATACTCTTGGACTCTGTTTTTGAGTTGATCTTCCGGTTAAGAAACATTTATTCTTTAGTTCCAAGAATCGATAGATTGAATTGCTGTGGCCTACAGGAATGTGAACTCCATTTAGCATTAACGTTACGAGCACACGTAGCACACGTACCCAGAAAAGCACTGCTGAGTTCAGCTAACACCATTCCTGATGTTTGGACCTAATGCAGCTCAGCAGGTTAATCCCTTGCCTTATCTAATCCATGTTCCGACTTTCTGCTGGACCTCTTGATCTTTCAACTTTTTGTTTGAGTTCACGCACATTGAGTTGCTCATAACAAAAAAGCAGGAAACCTTCGTCTACTTCTAAGAATGTTGCTTCTTAACGTTCTCCTAATAACCTACAAATGCAACTCCGTAACCAATTAAGAATAAGGAGCCAAACCACTACTTAGTGCTAAAATTTAGTTAACTTTAAGGGTTGCAAAGGTTGCCACTTGGCACCAAATTTGTGTTGGTTCTGGGGTTAGGCAACAGGGAGAAGGTTAAAGGGTGAATCATAGAATCAGTACATGTATGGGCAAGTCAGGGAAGGTCCTACATGTGTGACAGGGGACATAGGTACATCTATGGACTACAACGAACATTGGGAACAGGAATCAATGGATACATGATTTTCACCACATGCTGTACATGATTGTACAATAGGTGTAATTTTGATCATTTGGATAATTTCTTCATTTTGCCACAAGATTGGAAATGGAGGAGACTAGATTATTAGTGCAGTGGGAAATGTGATTCTTAGAATTGTGCAAATTCAATATGAACAATCAAGTGGTGGATCGTCAGAGTTAGATATGGCAAATGTCAGAACTTACTATTTTTGGCTAGTGTTGTAGTTGAAAGAATTGTAGCACGCAGATCAGCAAATGCAAAAACAATGCAAATCACTGTAAGTGCCTTTCAGTTAGTGATACATAAAACACATGCAACAAAAAATAATCATTGCATACTGTCAAATGACAACACAATTTGGAGAAGTATGCGCAAAAAAATAATTCTATTGTATTAGTCCAGCCATCAACCAAGTTGATTAGTTAGAACATAAAATTTGAGAGGTGTATCATAGGTGAGTTGTATGGAATGCATGTGTCTGGCATGTCCCAAGTATGCAAATGTGTACTAGGTAAAATGCTACATCTATTTATGTAACTATGCGTTTCTTTGTTTATTCATTTGTGATGATTGTGTTTATTGGCCCAATGCTAGGGTCATTGAGAAGTTCCTGCTCTGAGATGCTCCATGTTCGAAATATGCAAATATGAATATGCAAATGTCCTAGTCAAAATGTGTGTGTGCTATCTAGGTCTGTCAGTTTGTGGTTTAATGTTTACCTTTGATGCCCTCCTGGCCCAACCTCTGTGTCCTTGAAACTTTTTAGCTCTGAGATGTCCCAAATATGCAAATGTAAACATGCAAATGTCTTAATGAAAAGAGTGTACTAGGTGTCAGTTTGTGGTGGTTTATTCATTTATATCTACCTTCGATGCCCTCCTCCGGGTCTGGCCCAACCTCCGGGTCCTTGAGAAGTTCCAGCTCTGCCAAAAGCTTCACGTAGGCAGGCGATCGCTTGAAAGCCGGGTAAAACTTGTCCTCTTGCAGAATGGAAAACACCTTGGGAGTAAACAGACAACATTGGGGATCATTGCAACATGAGTCCAAATCTACACTTGGCAACAAGTAACTGAATATCCTTGTCGTAATAACAAAAGGGCCATGCAAGAGTATTACTGTAAAACAAGTACATGTTTTATCAAAACATACTTTTTTGTTTATAACATTTTTATGGAGAAACAAGCTTTATATCGTACCCTTTTCTGAGCTTCATCAAATATCCCAGCTGTCGGTGTGTCCTTGATGATGCTGTTGTAGATAGACTTGACTAGGCTGTCCTCAAGCTTCACTCTTGGGGAGGCCTGAAAAGATAGACAAAACATCATTTTGTGTCATCAATGCAGAATTTGATAATTTAAAAGCATGCTACAGCCTACAAGCCAATTATAAGTTGTCTTTGCCCAATAAAACTGAGTATATGGTTGCGTGAAATATCAGATGCAGACAAATGCAAATGTGAGACTTGATTTTACAAAAAACTTTGAGTAGACCTAGTTTCATCGGGGTGTTTCAGCATAGAAATGCCTTTTTAAAAAGATAAAATGGAAGAAAAATCAAATTTGGCCATGACTCATACAATTTCTATACCCTATAGCAACTCAGAAAAAAAGTGTTATTGCTTCTCTACTACAATTATTTTGAATTATGGCTGTTGGTACCTTTTCTGACAGATACTGCTCGTAAATGTTGAGCGCGGCTGCCCTGAGCATCTCGTAGTCAGGCCCCCTGGAGTCGTTCTGGATCTGCATAGTCGCTGACACCCGGAAACCCTCCACGGTCAGCCAGAAAAACACGTACCCTTGTCGACCGCTCGCCGTGAGAAAATCTGTCAGAGAAGAACAACAGGAACAGTTTGTTTGTTTATTTGCACAAGAGCAATAAAAAATTATACATAATACATGTTGATGGAGGTTACACATCCAGCCTCCAGGTAAACAGTACTCATTGTCAAGGAAATTCAAACTCTACTACTGGATTAATTACGGAGATAATTTTCGCACGTTTCGAGTGGCATCCACCACTCTTCCTCAGCATCACTAATGAACAGTTGATGCGAATTTTTTACACAAGAGATGAATGAGAGTTAAACAGCTTTTGACATGTATACTCAACAGTATGTTCATGCAGTTTGTTGTAGCAGTCCTTACCTATGAAGTATGACAAGGCTACGTTGTTAATTAATGCAACATCTAGTGGCAGCTGGTACAGCCAGCCCTCCCGTATCCCCCCTATCTCGTCTGTGTCCTGGTGGGAACAACAAAACAGTCCACGTGTCAGCAGAAAACAGTACAGTTTCTTCAGATTGGTTAATCTATACACACCGGATACAGTTGTTGCATACACTTTTGCTACAATTATAGCTGTTTTATAACAGTACTGGTTGTTTGTATGGCTGCTACCTTTGCCATCTAACAGGATGCCATCTATAAGTGCCCCAACTATACAGGTACCCCTGCTTTTTCCAGATTTGTCTTGAACAAATCATTTTTGACAAGATGAAGAGATCTGCAAACTTATTTCAGTGTCTAGAAGTGGTCTCTTGGCCATGTACTGGGTAAATTTATTTTAAAAAGTACCATGGAAACTGCGAGGTAGTAACAATAGGAATTCAGCACCATGGACAGTGCCATTCCTTGGTACATACTGGATACAGTTGCTGCATACAGTTTTGTTGCATGTTGCTGTTTTCTAACAGTACTGGTGGGTTGTTTGTATGGTTGCTGTACTCACCACAGGAGGAGAGTCAGTGTCCCCACTGTACAGCTGCTGTACCCTTCTCTCACACAGCTGTTTTACAAACATCAAGCTGTTCAGCTGCTGTTTTGTATCAGAGTCTGTCAGAAAGGAAGGAAGAAAAACTGTTCAACTACATGTAATGTTTGAGTCACCCCTCTAATATTCTGAATAAAGTAAATGAATAAACTGAACATACACCCTTTATGCTATCACATTAATATGAGAACAAGTGTCTGACTTTACTCAATCTCAAGTACAAGTAATACATACCGTCTCCGCTTGTGTCTCTTGCTCTTGTTTTGGCGATTTCGGCATCGACCCTCTCCATGACGGCCTCCAGTTCCCCGATCTCGTCTCCACACTTGATGACTGTCAGGAATGCCTCGTTTACAAAACAGGAATCCTTGATCTGGAAAACAACATTAAGGCCATTCAATACCTTATTACATGTATGTTTACTGAAGAAAAACATATTGTTTTTGCTACATTTCTAGTTCTTCTTCTCCAAACAGTGACCTCTGACCTGACCAAACAGACCATCTCTCACCATGGTAACTGGTGTTGGGTTACATAATGTTGCAATTTTATAGTAGGAGGGATGTGTTTGAGTAGGAATTAACAGAGCAGACCATATGCGAAGGTAAACATTATGCATTTGCTTTGCATATGTTACTTTTCCAGTTTTTCCTGAATTTATCACTGATTATAAGTATGATTTTACCAAGAGGATATCATCAAAACAAAGTGCTGGGAGGAAGAGTACAGACTTTCTCTGAGACTCTTCTCATAATGACCTTCCAATTCAGCATTATTTTTTTGCAATAATCAAAGAACCAAGAAATCAACTTGGTGAGACTATGGCTTGAACAGGAATGTGGAAGGCATTTATCATTCATGTTACAAGAACATGCAGGAATGAAAACACTTCCGCTAACAAATCGATGAACCAACAACTTGAATTGATATGGCCTACAGCAGCCATTTTGATGGATTCAAACTCACACTTAAACCTAGTCACATGCAGCCAACACTTAACATGCAGATGGCATCACCATGCTGCATACATAACATCCCCGGGCAGACATGTGAGCGTTAGATAAATCAACGGAACACTTTCAGGGGCTCAGAGAGAAGATGAGATGAAACGGTTGCCACTTATGGTTCTACGTGTGATCAAGCAGAAGGAGTCAGTGGGGTCGACTGTTCTGAATACATGAGATACATGCTAAGTGTGCTGCTACTCCATACAAGCACATCAGCATAACATACTGTGCCTGAACGATACCCATGTGTTGGGCGTCTCTCGGGTACAAAGTATAAAGAAAAATTTATTTCAGGTCCTGCAAGTACACATGTACACAGTGCTCGAAATGTGCCCAACCTACAAAGTTGGGTGCACAAAAATTGTTTTGGGTGCACCATATAAGATAAAATAAATAGACTCAGCAAAAACTAATTATGTTTTATTGCTAAAGAAAAGTATTATAGCAACAATTTCATTATTTTTCTGACACTTAGATGTTCAGAATAACTGTATACTACTATACATTTAACATATTTACATACCTAAACCTACTAAAATACTTGGGTGCACTGGTGCACCCACAGAAAAAATTGGGTGCACAGCTCCAAATTTGGGTGCGCTAAGGTGCACATGCACCCAGTATTTTGAGCCCTGTTGTGTACATGTACATTGTATGTACCCTGTACTACATTTGTACATACACATTGATTGTATGGGGATCATTCAGTAATAGTTTCTTCCACAAATTGGCAACATTCCCAGACAGAAGTGTGACAAATTCTCAGGAAAGATTCTGAACACGATACACACGCAGCGCTATTAGCAGAAATCAGCTGGGAACACGATTACAACCCCTCTGACGGGCATGTAATCCTGATTAATTACTGTGTAACCAAATGACAACCGTGCGTCTTTATCTTTTACCAGTTACCTGATGGAATTATAGGATTATTGCTACAGTTTTGCATATAATCAGGCCAGGCTATATCAAACACCTAGCTGAAGGCATGTGATTTTCTTTTGGGTATGTAAAATTATTATGACAGCAAACTTTTCATTTTGTCAAAGAAAACAGTCTTCATTGGTGAAATTCTACGTGAATATGACCATTTAATGACTTTTAGTTATAAATATTATTGTTTCATGACATGTGCGTTACAGGAAACCAAATGCCACATAAACATACACACACACACAGAAAGAGACATACACACACACACAGAAAGAGACATACTGTATACTACTATGTTTCCTTGCTATACATTGTGTACATATACATTGTGTACATGCACATACACACACAAACATACAAAGAAGTCCCATCTCTCATGTTGGAAATTACAGTTCAAACTTGCTTGATAAAGTTTGAGTGTTGAAATTGGATGCTGGGTTAGCAACAACTGTCAAGTGATTGCTAGTAGAACAAATGCATGCAGGCAAGCTTTAATTCTTGTAGTTGCTTTCAACTGGAACTTGAAAGATTTTGACCTGAAAAGTGGCATCATCTTGTTGTCTGACAGTCTTTGTTGGGGACTAGACAGAACAAGAAAGAGAAACAAAGAGACAGACGAGGAGTAAGAACAAGAGCGACAGAAAAGAACACAAAACAGTAAAGCAAAGAGGCAACACAGGACCAAAGAACACAATTACATGAAGCAAAGCAGTAAGCAGAAATAAAAGCAAGGATTACAAAAGAACATTCAGAACTCACACTGGGAAGAACAAAAATTTGACATAAGTTTTAAACCATCACTGTCAGGGGCTGATTGGGCCTCCTCCACTAGACCTTATAGCCAAACACCTCTAACTCGAGAGAACCATTCACAATCTAATAGGAGCTCAGGGTTCTTTATCACTCTGAAAATCAGCCTGATAGAAGCCCGGGGTTCTCTGTTACTTTGGAAATCAGAAAACAGACAGTTCTAATTCTATTTCTGACAATAGTACATTTGCATGAATCAACAGGATTACATTATAAAAAGATGTTCCCAATTCTCCTGACTTAGAGGCGTTGGTCATCAAGCCCCTAGGGCGCTTGACCAGTGGAAGGGCTGCTAGCAGCGTGATATAGTCAGGCTAATTTTTGTGTCTGTGTAAGTGCTTACCAGCCACACGGCAGTCTGGTTGACGTAGTCTGGGTCGGAGAATGTGCCGATTGTCGGCAGAATCATTCCATTCACCAGGATCTCCTAATGGGTGTAGTACAGAAATATGTTACATTTAGACAAGTAAAAGGAACATTTATAGAATTCAGTATCTTCTGCTTAAGGAAATGGTCCCACATTTCTGTCTAGTGGAACACAGAGCAGTATGTTTCCTTGCTATACATTGTGTACATATACATACAATAGATCCTTGCTTTTAATCAAGCAATAACTGCTATAAAGGTGCACTGACCCTGACAATGAACCTGAAGGGTTTGTTGTGGAAGTCCTCTGGTGGCAGCAGCAGATAAAGCAGCACCTCAGACAGGTCCTGTAGGTATTCTGGAACACAGCATGGTAAGGGTTAAACTGTGGTACATGTAACTCAGACTGTGATACAGCTTAGGTAAGGTTATCACACCTGTATCAAGCATTACCGAGGCCCGGGTACATGTATGACAGAGAGGGATATCTTACCTATTTCTCTCTGGTCTGATGTGCAGATCAAGTCTCGGCAAATGGTTTTTTCCATGTCTGCCTCAAGGTCAAAGAAGATGCTCTCAAGGTCGTCCTGCGGCCTCGGAGTACCATCTGTACAAGAAAATTATAGATAAAAGCTTTATACACTCTTACTCTTAAGAAATACAGAATGATTCAACTATCAAGCAGATGTTCACATATAACATACAGTTAATCATGTCTCTGTATTAGACCCTACCTGTTCCTTCTAACCTAAAGTATCTGAGCCAGATCAAAATTTTCAAGACAAGATATTAACTAGGGAGTGGAATTGAGTTCCCATTTTGGGGCTTTCACTGTGCAATGCAATCAGGACGATGTCAGCCCTACAGTTGTGACAGTATTTGACCTGAATGTACAGATGACTTACCAGGGTTTTTCTCAGCCTTCAGCACCTTTTCCTGGGCCTTCCTGAAGAGTCTGAGATGAGAAGCAAAGTCGTCCACCAGTCTGGTGGTGAAATATGGCACCCATTCTACTTCTTTGGATCTGGACAGTCACAAACAGTCAGGAGTTAGACATGTACATCAATGAAGGATGGACATCTAGGTAGAGCATTATGTAATACAAAATACATCAACTAACATACTGGATAAATTCTCAAAAGAGTCAGACATTTCAGGTAGCATCCTCCATCTTTCATCTGTAAGTAGAATGTTATTGATGAAAGATCATCATTATTTATCATACTCAATTAGATACTCAATTAGATTGACACTATTTTTTCTGTGGTGTCTTGATTTATGTCCCATACATTTGGTATTTTGTCTTATAAGCTCTCACATGGGCGGGGCAAATAAAGCACTGCATAAAATTTGATGTTTAAGCATATCTTATTATTAAGCATGTGCATGTAAAGGCCCTGTTACTTCAGTTGAAAACTTCCTTTATTGATATAATTAGATACAACAAGGGTTCCAGTGTAAGTTTGTGACATGAAGATTTACTTGTTAGCAAAAGCAATGATGACTCTTTGGGTCATGAGCCTGAGGTCGTGCAGAAAGCCCTCGTCGTCGCTGATCTTGTCATGGTACCAGTTCTGGACGTAGTCCCGGAATGTGTAGTCTAACACCTGTGTGAGAAAAGGACACGGCTTGGTCATGTAATACATCACAAAACTAGAAAAGTAACATTTGCAAAGCAAATGTATAATGTTTACCTTCGCATATGGTCTGCTCTGTTCATTCTTACTCAAATGCATTCATATATGGTCAAACAGGAGTATAAATCCCTCCTACTATAAAATTGCAACATTATGTAACCCAACACCAGTTACCATAGGTTTTCGTTCAGTAAACATAACGATAATTTTCTGGCAAACACAGAAAGTGTACCACCACATGCCACATTGGGCGAAACCAAATGCTATGATGCTGAAATCCCAACAGGCACACAGACACACATACAAACAGACACTGTAAACATACAGATCTAGACAGAGTGAGACACAATACAGACCTCTCGAAGTGGCTCATCAATAGTGCTGGATCCTGTCAGTCTCTGGTCTGTTTTGTACTGCCTTGTTTTCTGTGCCTCTTCCACAAGCTGTGTAGCCATAACACAAGAAATCAAAGACTTACACATCTCCATGAAGTATTTTGAGTGGTTTCGGATTTCTAAATCTATTCATCATTAATTTATTGTAAATCTCATGCTGAATCTGTGTATATTTCACTATCACTTCCTCCCAGGTTGCAGGGAGACCATTTTGTCCTCTGGTTTGACCTTCCTGTCAATCTGCAGTTACACCATTTACTACTCAGTTTCTGTGACTCGAATGTATCAAAATAACAATGGCCACACACACGTAAAAAAAAAAAAACCAAATCACATTCAAAAGGGGACAAAATGAAACAATAATCTTTAAAAGCCGATAACCAACAAATTAAACTGTTGCGGCCAAAGCTCCAGAACATATCACCGGAAAATGTGGGCAAATGGCGTCCCGAAAGTCTGAGTAACAGCCGACGCTGGTAATGGAACTGAACTGGATGACAAATCCCCAATCCAGCCGCAGACATGAGCTTGAGTCTGTTACCCGTCCAACTGATGGCCTCAGTCACATCCAATGTGAATGAGGAATGCCGGCGGAATACATTACAGCAGTGTAGGGCGATAAAATGTTGATAATGGGGCCGTGGGATTCAGACCAGGGATTTTGCACTGATGGTACTGATGTGTGCTCAACTCTCTTTCTGTAGCCGAGGGTTTATTTAGGCCTTCCGGCGGCTTTATGTTTTGCGGTCCTTGATTTGGTTTTATAGCATCATAAATTCAACATCATAACCTGAGTTGGGATTAGGTACGTAGTAGTTGGTGCATCCTCCAGTCTATTTTGTACATCATGCATAGTCTGGGCATGTTTTGCCTGTCCTCTTGTGACTCCATGACACTTTTAGCACCCCATTCATGGTTTGTACATAATCTTGCAGCTCCAGGTTCTGTACCCTCTCCAGTTGTGTACAATTTATTACATGTATAAGCTCATAAAACTACAGTAAGAGTAATGTACATGTACCTTTGGTATTCCATCGTAGGTCCTCTCTAATCTGTTGACTGATCTCTGCTGCAGCTCTACAATAGACTCCTCCTTCCCCCTTCTGTACAGTACCACAAACGCCCTGTAGGAGATAAACAAGGTAATCAGGGATGGCAGACTTCACCCCCTTACCTATACTGCTTTGTCATGGACTCTTACAGTCTCACAGTTACAAACAAGAATTTCAGCACTGAGGATGAGTGGCAATGGTGCATTATTCATTTATCGTGTACATTAGGGAATAAAAGAAATATGTATGAAGACATATAACTACACATACTGCGTCACACACAAAATTGGAGTTGAGATTTCATAATTCAAAATAGATTATGGTAATTAAGACCTTATTTCCATAATAAATGACTCGATGGAGACAAATAAAAAACTATCATTTACATAAACATATTTCATGGAGGTATGATATCTCTGAATTCTTGTAATTTTTTTTGCTGCTTTGATTGTCACCAAATAAGATGAGTTACTATGAAGTCTCAAGCATAAAGAAATAATGGAAGAGGTTTCTGAACAGATTTCGATACATGTACGTCCTGCATTCTGCTTGGTGCAGGCAAAATTTGTCTGGTGCAGGTAATTTTTTATGTTACACGCACCAATACAGACTGCATATGTACATAATTTAACAGGACTTAGAAACAAATAGCAAGGTTGAAAGAACCAACATGCACACATAGGGAGCTTCCGGCTTTGTGTTGATCTATAAACATCCAACCTACATTTTGTTTTACATTGACCATCCTACAAATAAACATTCATAAAATCAGTGAATCTTTCTTTCGAAATTATACTCAGTACAGATTACATTTTAATTTTTTTTTTATTATTCCAACATGTAATCACCAGACGTGGTGACGGCACACTCAAGTCAAGTCACTACTACATTTTAATTCAATCTGTTATTATCATTAAGGGATCCAATGTAATGTCAGGGCTGCAAAAATATTCTGCATAAGGACATCTGCCAGATATTTACATTATAATTTATTCTATTCCTTAAAACAATAACCACAGAATGACATACATTGACATATATTATTGCTCCTATATTACGCTTTCAAGGAAGCACAAACCATAAGATAATCTGAAAGGCAGCTTGTTTTAGTGTACTAGTTACATGTCAAGTGGGTCGCCTACATCACTAACTCTACACTATAATCTCCTTGCCTACATTCATGAACAAGTGACATATTTTTTCCTTTGAAAAGCAACTGGCCGCGACTTTACTTGACAGCTACTATTACACATACTCAAACAGACCAAAGATATCAGCCATGCAGTGATGGTCTTTTTATACAGTTGCATAAGCAAGCACCTGCGTCACAGGTAAGCACACGAAACAAAGGGCTTCCTGTTCTTGCAATTGCTTTCACCAAATAAGGAAATGCACATCGACTCAGGTGAATTCTATATTTGTCTACTCTACATGTGGGTGGTTTGAGTATACTTTTGTACTTTCCATGTTATGTAAATGTTACACGTTTGAAGTCCAAGTCCAAACTATTAATATTTACAATTCTTTACAAGTGTTTTGAAATGGCCAAAATTTGAAACACAAGAAAAACAACATAACATATAATTTGGATCAATCTAGTTTGAAGGATAAATGTACCATAAACATTAAAAATAATAAAAAGAATATTCAGGATATATTGCTTATGATTCAATGTGCTGAAAAAAAACACTTCAAGGTTAATCATTTAACCATGTAAACTTTCAAAGGTCATATATCAACACTGTAAGATAACCAAGAAATGAATGCACCATGTTTTGTAACAGTACAAGAATCGGGGCTCGAAATACATTGTACTTTGTAAGTGTAATTTTGTACTCACCCCACAAGGAAGCAAACCAGGTACAGAACCAGGAAAACTCCGCCAAAGGGTCCAAATGTCCCCACAAACAGCACCAACGCCAACCCTCCCCACGCAACCGTCGATAATGAACTGTCCCCCTGAAAACAAGACACACAGGGGGAGTTATAATGAACTGTCCCCTCGCAACTGAAGCCAGGAAGTTAGCACAAACAATAGAATAAGCAGTGCAGGTTTTGTGTCGTACCTCATTTATTATTGAGTGTCAAAACAGTCGGTATTTGCATGACTAAGATCAGATTTACACGCAAAAACCTGACTGTACGAAAACTGAGTATATACACATGTGACATATAAATATAACTGCATACATCAACTTTTTCCTGCAGGTAAATCCGATGTTGCAAATCGGATAGCACCCTGGCTACAAAATTAAGTCCATTCAAACTTAAAATTTCATTTGATTCACAGACAGTAGAGTTTGTCACAGTGAGCACAGCAATGTCTGACGTTGCACAGACATAACACGAACACTAACTGGACTAGCAAGATTTCAGAATGTGTGATCATATTACAGGTTAATGGTATTATGGTATTACATACAATAGACTATACATGGCATGACAGCAAGAAGACAAACAAGGAAGCAGATCACAAAATACCTGACAGTATTGACTATTAATGATTAATAAATGTATATACTTTATTTTATTCTATTCACATGGATTTTTGAGCATTGGATAGGAAGCACTTGTGCTCATGTGAATCCGCTGCTCATAAAACATAATACAAATGTTGACATAGAGATGACATAAAGTATAACATAAACTTATATACTTTGAAGATACCTTGAAGATTCCTAGGTGACCAAATATCATATATTTTGCATTCAGTGCCAAGCTTTTTATAGAATAATTTCTGAAATTGGCATCCAACCAAAATTGCAATGTATTTCTCTGTCCACAACACATCCTGTCATGTGATATTTCTTATTTTCTATCTGCATATTTTTAAGAGAGTCAAATCTAGAAACCTCCTTGCTAATTTGGTCTAGTTAAAGTAACCTACTAAAATAATATATGATTTCAGCTGTCATTCTGTACAGTCAGGGCATGAACTTCAACAGTAAAATAAGAATTACCACACGAATTTCAATCTATCTTGATTAAGTGTGCTTTACTGAATGCAAAATTTCTCAACATAATTTATTTTGAAGAAATCAAGATATAGCTTTCCCCTCAGATCTAAATATAGGATGCGTGAATACAGACAGTCAAAAGTAACCTAACACTCGTAGACATATGACAACAGTCGTATAGCAGTCATATATAAATGGTGCAAGACTAGAGACACTGAAATATAATCTACGTAGATAATTACCGGGTGACCCTCCCCCGACCTTGTTCGGTCAGGCTAATATTCTACACTAACATAACGCCGCCTTCTTCCGTAAACTGGGCGGTTTCAGCAACACAAACAACAGAAATGGCTAGCATAGGGTTGACATTGGCAAGTAAAACAGTTCGTTTGGCGATTAGATCGTTCCTTTCTGCTGTCAAATGGTAGGAGGGACAGCAGTCGACCTGAGAAAAATCAAAATCTGGTGATATGTCACAAGGGGCAAGCACGGAAACGGGCAGTGCCGATCGCCATTTTTGCCCGCTGTGGCCCCAAAACAGCGCCCAGGAGCCCTAAAAATTTGCGAAAATGTTAAGGATACGTACCATTTTCCTTTGCATATCTAAATATCTCCTTCTAGAGAGCACATCGGCAGCATATGTGATGTTTTTCACGGTCCTACGTTGCTGATGGCCGAGTCGTCCGCCATGTTGGATCGTCGGCCCATAAATACAGCGGCCTGATTGGCTGACAGGTGCCATCGATTTCTTAACCAATGGGGAAGCCTCTTTTAGATGTGACGGTAGGATGAGATCCACACGCTGATTGGCTGTTCTTTACAATACTGAAGAGTGAAAGGAAGTGGATTTGCGGCCTCTTCAAAGAGGTCACTTTCCTTTTTATAGACTTTCTACAAAGAAATTCTTTTTACTATTATACAATTTCTACCGATTTATTTCTTAAGTTAAGACAATCTAATGATTAAACTAATGTATTGCGAGAATACACGTCGGTTTGCTCCAGAAATAATGACCCTTTTCCGATTTACGAAAAATATCCCGCGCTACAAGGATTTGAAAGTGAAAGTGTACAAGAATGATTGGTTGGGACTAGACAACTTTAGGGCTAGCTCATTATACTGCTCCATTGGGTTCGTCATAAATCTGAATGCTTGCATGCGCAGCACATCCAAATCAAAATAACCTATTTTCTGTCTCTACAATTTGACTAAACAGACTTAAAAAAATTGCAGCGACATTTCTTGCGTGCAGTTGATTTAGGAGAAGAAATCCCGAGGAAGCCCCTCCCTTATGAGCATTAACGGTTTGTCCCCGACTAGTGATGTCACTTCACCATCTGCCGCCCCAGCAACTGCGGACGCCTGTGTGTGGTTCATCCGGTGGCCGGGAGTCCTTCAGAAAAATCCCGTCGGCTCAAAGCGCCCAGAGTCACCGCAGGTGTACCCCGGCGACCACCGGTCGGATCGGGCAGAGGTGTAGGCGCGCGGGCCGGGACAGCGGTCCTGTTCTCCCGACGGAGGGGTTTCCCGGAACGGTGGGAGCGAGAAGGGAGGAAGGGAGCGCGCGAAAATGGTCGCCGAGTGGGTCTCATGCTTGGACAAACGGTAGGACTCTAAACCATCCTTATGTCATCTCGTCTTCCTCTAAAACCGCAGAGAAAAGGATTAAGGCGTGGACGTGTCTGGTAGAGTAGGCTGGTTTTGTGTAGAGGACATTGCTTGGCGTAAGTCTGGCGCGAACCTTTTCTCCGAATCGGCGGTTACGTACAGAGGGGAGGGGCACACACTTGAACACGGTTCCTTCTTCAAACTCACACGTGCGGGGTTTGATTTTTATCTCGGATAAAATATACACACAACCATTTTCCAATTTCCTACATGGCGACTCTAATTCCACGGCAATCCACTTTGTATGCAAAGAGCTGCGGTATCTTTTTCCACATCGCCACTGTTGGAAATTCACTTGGAAATTTTTATTGCTTGTGTCTGTTGCAATTGATAGTTATCTACTTACCTTTCAGATAACTACAGTTATCCGAGCATCGTAAGAATATATGGCGTTCTCATTTAGGACGCTAGGCGGCAGCACTTTACAGTCAAGATTAGAAGAAAGAATACCCAGAATGCCCCATTCAGCCTCGGTTTCGTTCTCTCTCATGTGTAGCGAGCTAAGGTTAACCTCAGCGAACACTGGGATGGGAAAGAACTGGGGTGGGACATATATTCTTACGAT